CCACGCGCTTCTACGACGCGAGCGCCAATCAAGTTTCATGCTTGCAGAACCAGCACGGCGTCAACATGATCTTCTCGCGCAATGGTCGTCAGTGGGCATATCTTAGCGAGGAAGATGGCAAGGGTCTCAATGCGGCGAGCCATGATGGTATCAACTTCAAGAAACCGGTTGTTTACCTTGGCGACTACATCAACGGACGGAAGATCGCGGTTTGTAAATGGCCTGGCGGAAAGCCACTTGCGTTCTCGCAGGACGGGAATTGGCTTGCGGTGGGAAGCACGAGAGGTCGGGTTGGGCTCATGGACTGCAGTGCGAACATGAACAAGGCGAGCGTCGTGATTCCGTGTCATATGGATGAGGTTACACATGCTGTGTTCACACCAGACAGCAAGCTTCTCATCACACAATCTCGCGACGGCACGATTCGCATCACGAATGTAGCAACCCGCGCATCGATCGCCAAGCTCGAGACCGATACCTGGAAGAAGCCCGTGTTCCTCGGAACGTCGCCCGATGGAGAAGTCATCGTTTCGTTATGGGGCGATACCGTGTTCCACTGGAATCACGGCACCGCAGCCCTCGAGTCGTACAACCTCAGCGGGCGAAGGACACGCGAGGGCTGGCCCATTGCTGTATCGGCGGACTGTCGCTTCTTGTGCTGTAGAACAGATGACGGTGTCGATGTAAGTGATATGTACTCGGGAAGAGTGTTGTATACGATTAAGTTTCAGAGCGGGTTTGTCACGGCGGCGTCGTTTAGTTGGGATGGGAAATACTTGATTCTTGGAAAGGCGGCGTCGTGGATGGGACTCAAGATGGGAACTTCGACGTTGGATGTTTGGGAATTGGTATTCTAGGCGTTTAAAATGGGCTGTAAGTTGGATATATGTACGCTACAGAGAAAAGTTATGAACCAGAATTTGACCATGATGTTTGTGTAAGTTTACTATTAAAGTCGTTGAGAGCATTGTCATGCATATACTATTTACTCAACCTCCTTCCATCTCGCCTCAAGCATCTGTATCCTCATAAGAGGCCCTCCGCTCATGACCTCCGCCGCAGCCTCTCTCGACTGTCTATCGTACGAATACCCCTGCATGACCCATTCATTTGCATGGCCATACCCAGCATACGAGTTTCCAACAGTATAGCTATGTCCCATGGTAGCATCTTGAGCCCATCCCATGCTCTTATAAAATGTACCCTGTGTGCCCAACATCTGCGCCTGCATGGCTGCTATCTTTTGCTGATTGAGGATCTGCTCGCATTGCATGATTGTCTGCGTGTAAACGACATGTCTTTGCTCTCCAACAGCCAAGAGACCTTCTAGATCCCCAGTTCTGCAGGCCTCGGCGTATAGACCTCTCATGCGCGGTGAGTAGATATCGCACATACGTTCTTTTTCTGGCTCTCTCACGCCAGTGAGTGCAAATCGAGGCTCGAGTGCTGTTCCCTTTGCAAAGGAAGCATAGCAATCTTCGCATATCGCCAGGACTCCCCATCCCCACCATCGTCTATTCTTGCTAAAGTTCTTCCTTGGACATTGTTGAACATGGCCCCATTGTGCAGTCCAGTCAAGAAAGAGCTTGCTGTCTCCCCAATTTCGTGCGCTAACATATGCCTCGAGGGCCTGAACTGCTCGTGGATGACCCAAGCTGAAGCCGCAGAGATACAGTTCGTCTGGCTTGGTGCTGTTGTCTTTCATGAACCATCGTGCCCCTCCAATTGGTTTGATGATGCCCTCATAACACGCCGCGCATATTCCCCAGCTGGGAGGATCGTTCATAGGTGTGTACCACGAACTTCCTTTAGTTCCCTCCCTGTTGCAAACAGGGTACTTGTCCATTTCCCACGCTGCAATCCAAAACAGACTTCTATCCTCATCATCCAGTGCCTGATGCATCGGAATGATGTGGTTCAACTGCCCAAGAATACACCTTGTCTGGAAGTTTCCTCCAGCAACCTGCTGCCATTTATCCTGATCTTCAGAAGCATAGAAGTAGTCGTGATAACACGCTGCACAAGCTTGTAGGTCCCTCGGTCCATTTTTAGGCTTGTACCATGCACGCTCATTGGCGTTGATGGTGTCGATCTTGGGACATTCCGGTATTTGTGCGCGCTGGTTGAACTCTTGACAGAATTGGGCCCATTTGTTCTCTTTCGCATAGTCCATGAACTTGCGTTTGAGGAACCATACGCTGAGATCGCAATAAGCACCGCCTTCATTGGGCAAGAGCTGATAATACTTGGCAAACGACGAAGTTATGAGGCCGTCCTCGAAGCAAGCCTCGCAAATTGTCCCGTTTGGAATATCAGCTGCTTTGTACCACGACTCTCCCTCGGTAATGTTTTGTTCCCTGCAGTCTTTGATACTAATTCTCCTCCTCATAAACTCGACAAGCTTGTCAAGGCTACCAGACTCGACGGCCTCGGGGAGCAATGTATCTTTGATCCGCCTGGTGTAAAATCGACATCTGCGCTTGTGTCCATCGTCGTAGAAGACCTTTCGGAACGAGTCCCTGAATTTGGTGTCGTAGATATGATCTATATAGCAGCGAGCACAAATGACGAACTCTGGTACAGCAGCGTGATAGAACCAGTGTTGGGGGAATAATGTTAGTGAGCCTGAGCATTCGAGACCTGCTTTTGCACCACAAGCATGCATCTGTGCTGGCTCAGGGGTTCTGACGCGAGGAGGCTTCGGTGTAGAGACGGGTCTGGGTTGAGCCAGTTGTTGTCGTTGTTGAGGTGGACTTAGATCAGATGGAGGTGGCTGATAAGATGGAGTGTTTGCATGTTGAGGTTGAGGACTTGCTGGAGCTGGTGCGTGATACAAGCTCCGTTGCCTTGTCTGCTCCTGAGCTCTAGGAGAAGGTTGTGCTTGAGGGCTCGGCGGTGGTGGAGGGTAGTATGGTGTCTGCTGCGAAACACGCCCAGGCGACACATAACCACCAGACTGTGGTTCGATTGGGGTTGTAGCCTTAGCAGGAGGAGGCCCGGGTGGAGGGGGCGGTATATAGCTTTGCAAAGGACTAGAAGGCGTTTGTGTCTGACTCTGTGGCGAAAGATACGAGTTCTGGGCCGGCGGAGCTGTATACGATACTGGTCTTTGTGTAGAACTCACACTCCCAGCTGTAGAAACAGGCCTCCTCGGTAAAGGCGGTGCAGCATCCTCCACGTCCGTATTAACCCTCGGTGGCAACGGTGGTCTCTCTACCTCTTGTCTCTGTTTCTGTATCTCATCATACAATCTCTGCTGTTCTCTCACCAGCTCCTCCTCCGCAAGTTGATAGTTCTTAGCCTCTTCAGCTCTCAACTTCTCTAGCTCCTGGGCCTGCTTCTCTTGTTCGATCCTCATGTTGGCGAGATCTTCTGTAGCTTTCTTCATTTGAGCGTCGTACTCTGCTTTGTAGTGCGCTGCGAGACGCTCTGCTTCGCGCCATTGTGTTTCGAGCTGTTGGGTATGTGCTTGAGAGGGATATGGACTCTGAGGATAAGTTTGCGGACCTGGTTGTGTTGCTGGCGGCGTGATGTGAGGCTGTGACGATGTCTGAGAGGGTTGAGCGCTTGGTGGACGGTACGGTGATGGTGGAGGCGGATATTGTTGCTGCTGAGGTTGGTACTGTGTTGTTTGAGGTTGTCCATATTGCAGTGATTGAGGCTGGTACTGAGTCTGAGGTTGTTGATACTGCTGTTGCCATCCCGAAGGTGAACCCCTCTGATATCCGCCCTGTTGGTATCCTTGATTCGTTCCTTGTCCATAATACCCCGACTCTCTCTGCCTTTGCTGCTGCTGCTGTAGCTGAGTCTGTTTCTTATACTCCTCTCCCACTTTACCAACAAAATCCTTTAACCAAGCCATTGTATCACTGCCTTGTCCTTGAGTAACACAATGCCCAAGGAATGAGGGGCTCTGACTGCCTAAATACCCTCCCCACGTCAGATGTAAATGGGTTACAATAATACCCGAACACGCCCTGCGCTGATCTGGCCAGATGAGGCAATATTATGCCTCCTGGGCTCCGAAGGAGAGGAAAGAAGACTTAGGACCGTTGTCCTGAGTGGCAAAAGACTTAGGTAAACTTAGTATGGACTTGATGGACTTTAGGTTTAGGTATTTTAGTCTTCTTCGTTCCCTATGATGCCTCCAAGGCTCCTTACTTCACGGAGCATTGTCTCCAGATATGATCATATCAGATGCGCGCTTTTTATTGTAACCCACAAACAAGGATCATAAGCAAGTCAGCCTGGACTACGGACTAGACCCTTGCTTTCAGCTCGGTATCATCGGGACTGGGCTTTAAAGTTATCAACGGTTCAACGAACAAGCTTATTTCCAAGCTTGACGAAACAAACGGTCTAGCCAATTATTGCCAAATCAGCAGCAGCCATAAAAGCAGCTTTTTTATACTGCCCGGCTCTTCATGTTAAAAACTGCGAAATGTGTAATTGTCCGTGTACGCTTACGATCAGTCCATCTCCACCACTTGACCCAGAAATCCTTCGATCTTCATTCCTCGACCCTCAAACGACCAGGATCCTTTGTAGCCTGTATCACCATCAGCGGGACACGACCGCAACGCGGAATCTACGAGCCAACGTTCAGAAGCATCACGAACCGAGACTCGATGAAGTGTACCAAATTCATTAACTCCTATAACCGCATGCTGACCCCCTAAGCATGGCTTTTCATATATCTTTCAGCTCATCGCGAGACAAAAGGTTGAACCTCTGTCTGCCCTGAGCCTCCATGACATGTATCAAACTTCTGAATAAAAAACAATAGGTATATGCATCCATCAATCCCAATAGCAACAAACGCCCGCCCGCCCGGTTCATGCTGGTATTTCGTAACTATGTGTGTTGTTTATGCGTAAATGTACGATACCTCAACGCCGTTGTTTCATCGGTTGCCCATCTGTAGAACAACCCGTTGCGAAGAAAAAAAACATATTGCCTGAATGCGTAGTCCGTCGTCCATTTATCCATAATGTGATGCATTAAGCTTCTTCCTCAATCATTGCTCGAACCTCGGGCTCGTTGAGAAGGATACGCTTGCCAAGTTCCTCTGGTGGCTTGCCGTCTCGGACAGCTCCAAAGTCGAGAATCTGCATCATGTTAGTACTTGTTACTCTCATTATCTGCGCTGGAACGTACCTCGACGTAGGTGAGTGAATCGCGCTGGACGGCAGCCACGCATCGGCGATCGTCAAATTTGACCTGCCAAACACCGCTGAGATCGCTCAACAAGTCCTGAACGCATTCGCCAGTTCGGACATCCCACATCTTGACCGTCTTCTCACTGCCACTAATAACTTTCCGTCCATCGTGCTGGAAACAGGTAATAGCCCCAGTATGTGCCATGAGAGTATTGCGGCATTTGCCATTTTCTGGATCCCAGATACGAAGAGTCGAGTCGGCCGCCGCCGACACCAGTCGCTCATCGCGAAGGTCTAACAAACCGACAAGCAAACTATGTCCCTCGAGAGTGTACAGACATGCGCCAGTTGCAAGATCCCAGATCTTGACCAGCGAATCCATTGAGCCCGAGATACAACGATTGCGTTCATGATCGAGGACGACTGAGTAGACTTTCTGAGAGTGGCCGTGGAGCACATGAAGAGCCTCACCGGTGCTGATACGCCAAACCCGGACAGTGCTGTCATAAGATCCACTGACGAGGGTGTCACCATGAGCGGAAATGGCGCGGACAGAGTGCGTGTGTCCGGCCAACACTCGAATGAAGTAAGGGCAGTCGGACTCATGAGCTGGGGGGCCAGTCTGGATATATCGGCGGGATCCAACCTCAGGAAGTCGCCAGACCCTGAGCTGACTGTCCCTGGAGCCGGTGATGATAAGAGGCTTCTCGGGCTGCATGATGGCCTGTCCACTAGAATCTCTCCCTGTCTCGGTGGGCATCAGGATTTGCAGGCAACGGACAGTACTAGTATGTCCGTAGAACACCTGCTGGCAAAGGCCACGTTCGATATCCCAGACGCGAACAGATCTGTCAGTAGAGCCAGACACCAGCATGTTGCCTTCATACTGTAGTGCCCAGACACCACCTTCATGACCTTCAAGCTTCTTGCGGAGCTTGCCCGTCTTGGTATCGTAGATGTGGATGAGCGTATCGTCGCTACCTGTAATGATCTTGTCTTCGTCAAACTGGAGACACGTAATAACGTGACGAGGATGAGCTGCAAACGCGACGTGGCCAGGTTTAACCTCGCCGCTGGTCCAACTCTTACGGATCATGTGATGACGGCGGTAAAGCGACTTGTATAGATGTAGCTCGCGAAGGCTAGGCAGTCCAAGTTGGGGATCAGGAACAGCTGTAGCGGCAGCATTTGCGGCAGACAGTGGTCCTTCCGACTTGTGTTGACGGGCCTCGGGCTGCGACTTGTTCTCTTCACGGGCCACGGCTTCTTGTGCACTGGCACGTCGCTTAGATCGCTCGGCCGAATAAGTGTTGATCGCTCGCTTGCGCTTGGAAGCCCGAGATTTGGAGGCTGTCTCTTGTCGAAGAGTCCGGGTAAGCTCGTGCTCAGTTGAAGTCAACCGGGTTCGCATGCTCAAATCCTTTTCGTATCCACTTGCGCCAACAGGATCTTGCCAGCCCCAACCTTGTATAATGGCCTTCTGGAGTTCTCCAGGTGGGAGAGTGTAGCCATCTCGGTCAAACAGTTCCTTCCACCCTGTTTCATTACGATCAACAATGTTTCGCCAGTGCTTTGAGACTTGTGCAGCCCGACAGAGGTCTCGGTGATCGAGATGAGACAAAACAGAATATCCAAGTTCCAGGGGTAACTGTCGTAGGAAATCACATTTGAGTGCTGGGTTCACAGCGTTGGCCACAACGCGGAGGGTAGGACGAGGACACCGGCGAAGGAACTGGTACATCATGAATGTCTTCATTTCGGTTTTCATGGAGTCGAATGCCTCAAGAAGTGTCTGTGTGTCGACGACTTGAAGTGAATCAACACCTTGAGGAGCACCATCAGTGCGAGCAAGGGCGTAATCGTCCTGGGAATGGCCGGTACGAACGAGAGCAGTCAAGGAATCATCATCCACAGGCTGTGATTCATCAAGCCACCTTGAGGGATCAAGGTTCGAGGACTGGAAGCTAGGTCGTGCCTCATCCTCGTCATCGGCAGTATGTAGCTGAGCGGCTGCCAAGGTAGGCGACAGTCTGGGACTAGGAAGACTAGCATCTTGGGCGGCAACGACATCGATACTGGGACGGGGATTAAAGGGACGGATAGGTTGTTGTAAAGATCCATCAGCATCAGCGAATGGTTCTGCGTCAGCATCAGTAATAGGTGGAGTAGCAACATTGCTGCTAAAGACAGTATGTGAATCACTCTCCACAGGGCTGGTGGCTTCGTATTGGGGGCTGACAGCCGAGGAAGATGCTTCGGGTGATTGGTTTCGTTCATGGTGTGAAGAGCGTCGGCGAGCTAATCTTTCAACCGAACCAACGACTTCCGAAGTATCGGGAGTAGCAAGGAAGCCCCCGGAAGGTCTGGATGACCTTTCTCCTTGTCGATTCGAATTATGGGCAATGGAGCGACGAAGTTTATCCGATACGGCGTTCAGGGGAATGGAGCGACCAGGTCGTCGAGGGTTCGAAGTAGGTGCTGAAGATTCGGGGGAATCTATAGTGGTAGCTCTAGAAGCGCGGGAACGGCGAGGATATCCTTCTGAAGGAGATTGTGATCGATGCTTGGGTATCCGAACGAGGTTGGATTCTTGAGGGGACTCAGATTTGAGCTGAGCGGGGGTAGAACGAGAATTGCAGGATAACTGTGTACCTGTCAGTATGGTCTGTTCTTCATGACAGTTGCAGACAGCAAGGACGGAGCACAACGTGATAACTAACCTGGTGGTCTATGGGTTCATCTTCAACTTCATTGTCAGTTTCAATAGCACCTGGCATGTTATACGAGAACCTGATCAGTTCTGGGGGAGTAGGCTTCATAGCAAGAGGATACTCTTTTGTGTCTAGGTTCTCCAGAGGTACAGGGTCTCGAACGAAGACCTGAGGGAACTTTCGCGTGAGACGAGTAGTGGTCGTAACAGTCTTAGTCTCGACACACTCGCTCACCTCGAGCTGGAAGCGGCGGGAGCGGTTCTGGGTCCCCTCGGAGATGTTTACGGATACTGTTTGGGAAGGTTTGGAGTGACGAGGCTCAAGAGCCTGGCTAGTTGCTGGAGATGGTGTCATGATGCGGTCGGTGTTTGTGTGTGTTCGCGTTTGTGTTCATCCGTCAAATGTAAGGCTAGGGACGAGTTCCGATTTAGCAGTCTTGATGGGATCAGTATCAAGACTGGTTGCGGAGCTCCAAAGGTCGTAGTATCAGAGACGTGCTGTTGGAACAGCTAAATTGCGCGGGGAGCAAGAAACGCGAAAGAGGAGAGAGTGTGTTTGTGCCGAACATGCAGATGCTTCACCGGCACTTAAGGTTGGTTGTCTAACGGCCGGTTTCTAGGGTTCGGCGTTTTCGAGCTTCTTCTCCACTGACATCAAACTCTCTGGCCTCGGTCGGATGGGAAGACCACTGGTGCCGGCAACTTCTGCGACAATGTGGCCGTGATTGAGATATGTCGACAAGAGGACGGATATCGACCACGGACGCGAAGGGCTTTCGATATGAGGCTAACCTCAGGCCCGAGACCGGAAAGGGGACAACACGGTCGAAACACAGGAGATCGAAGGCGATGGAGACACGGAAGCCAGGGCGGCGGAACGAAGGGTCGTAAGGCTATCTGACTGAGCGAGCACGCGTGCACTTGAGGCTGGGGAGGCAAGGGGAGTGTACAAGGGAGTGTGGCGAGGAGGGTGAAGAGAAAACGAGTATAATTAAGAAGAAAAACGAGACACGACGTAACAAGGGGCAAAAGGAAACAAAAAGGAAGCCGTCGTCTGTATAATTCTGTATCTCTGGCCCTTCTGTGACTCGGGGGAAAGGGCTTCGTTTTGCTGACGAGGCTTTGGTGAGAGAGAAGATGTGGTGCAGGCTGATGTGACGGAGGAGTTGTTGGTCTCTGGTTCTCGGGCCAAGGTGGATGTGGACTCTCCATTTTCACGACTAGGCCCATTTGGGAATAGCGTAGATGTAGACTGGTTGGCCCTGCGTGCTTTCCTAAGACTTGGACAGGGTCTAGCCAGTGTCACAGGGGCCGTGATTGGGTGAAAATGTGGTCGTCCTTGGGGAAGGGGAACATGACACTGGACGAGTTAAAGTACCTCTCCGCACGAGTCCAATACGACTTTGGAGGTGATCGTGAGAAAGGGTACTTTTATGCACGTCGTTGCAACCACATCACAGCAGCAGACGGAGTTCGAAAGAGGTAGGGAATTAGGAAAGGACCGTCTGTTCTGTTGGTGATTGTGCATCGCCCCGGTCTAGCGAGACGCTATTCGAAGCGTGCGTTGCCTTGGTCAAACAACGGAACGAACCTGGCTCTACGACCAGTACGGTTACGGCCGAACCACGGCTCCGGCGACGCGACGGATGCTGGAATGAATTCAAGACAACAGAGACCCAGGACAGGTTTCGAGAGTTAGTCAGCCCTGAAACTTAATTTGACCGACGCCTTGGTCGATTCGCAGCAGGATTACGACGGTCCAAATCGAGCTCTAGACTACCAAGTTCCCACTGAATCCTCCGTGCTGGAAATCAAGGCCCGTGATGGTATTCAGCCCAGGTTGCCTGTTGCAACCCCACGTGATATCTCCACGTCTGTGTTGGAACCCGGAGGGTTTGGCAATGAGACTGGAACATTGAGGCGTCTATGGCAATAGATCGATTACACGAAACAATGAATTGGGTTTGTATTGGGTTCTACTCCAGCTTCTATTGTTATGCTTATCTCCATCAAGGGATAGACCGAATGGGATCAAGATGGATCCAAGGGAGCAGTCCAATAAAATAGGAGACAATGTGCAGTAGCAGCAACTCCTTTTCTACTTTGGATACTCGATCATATTTTTCAGCTGACTGAGGACCTGACGCCCCCTTGTTTATCCCATCCCTTGTTGAATCTATTCACAACAAACCTTCTCCTAACTCTGTTTCCGTGATAAATCATAATCCACCATTCGCCGACTCCATTCCCGGCCATCCAATCCTTATCCACGGTCACCGCCGAGTCCTCGCCACACGGCTTACTGTAAAAATCTCACTCCGATCGAACCTCACGTGCTCTCCGAATCCGACTTAGTCAGCCTACCAATCAAGGCATCCCCTCGGCTTTTCCGGATTTCCTGTACCGGACGAGTCCCGATACTGGATGCGGGGGTGTTCTGATCGGGGTATTGTTGGGCGTTTCGCCGATTCTAGAGCTGGGTCATCATGATGCGGTTGAGGAATGTTGGATCATGTATTGAAACAGACGGTGAGTTTTTAGTTGATTCAGGGGCCATTCGCTCCGCGATGAGTGTATTGTGATCCATTGTAAATTGATGTGCTAACCAAATATCGCTGACATTCGCTTTTTGTGGTATTCCCAATATCGCATGATACGCCGTTATCATGATATCAATCCAAACCCCTCGCTAACATCCAATCATGTCCAGATATCGACTCTCATCCAATGTATCATGATATGTAAACTGGCATACGACTTCCCAATAGCTCACTTTTACTCAACTGCACATCCAACTTGTTAAAGTCGTGTAACATTAACCAGCATATCATGCGGAAAATCAGCGTACACCAAACATCATCATGCGAGACCTCCCTGTTCATACAGAGCAGCCTCTAGTCTGGGTCTGGGCTGCTCGCTTGCTAACGAATACGCTTCACTCACAGCACTGCCAGGTCTGCTAGACATGGAGGGACGGCCGTTGGCCATAGGACCGAGAGGAATGTTCTCCACGCTGGTTTGCAGACGAGGGGCTGGCATGGGGGGAGGCGGCGAGGATGCTCTTTCAATGCCACGCATGCTCGATGCTTGTGTGCGACCAGTGCCTGCGCGACGGAAACCATACCCTGCAGGAGCTCCAACAAGGCTTGTTCTGCGATCTGTTGAACGGGCTGCACGGGGGATGACCTTTTCACGAATAACGTGAAAGTAAACTTCCAAAAACTTGTGCTGCCGCTCATCAGGACTGGCTTCGTGCATGTCCTCAAATCCAATGGGCGCAACTCTAGGCTGTTGTCCATCCTGTCGCGTGTGTGGTGTAGCCGGGCTCCATTCCGCATGTAGAGATTGCGTATCGGATGAACGGTCTTCCCCATCATTGAGTAGACGCAGAACTTCTTGGATGTGTGACCGCAAAACATCCTGGACCATTTCTCGTCGCTTCTTCTGTACCTCGGACTCATGAATCTTGATGCCCAACTGCTCTGCGAAAGGGGTAACAGTGCCGCTGGGTTCCTTGGCTGTCAGGATTTGATCGCAATCGTCGATGGCTTCGTGGAGTGCCTTGAGGGTGCACATCTTCTCGGTTACGCTTTCGTCCTTGTTGTAGGCCAAAATTTGGTCGACGTGCTTCTTAATCTTCTCGATAATTACGGGGTTTCGACGGGCTCCGGGCAGTGAAATGGGAACAAGGTCCTCATAAGCTTCCATCACTTTGACTAATGACACCGACTGCTTATCCCAACGATCTGATGTCGGGTTGGGAATATGGGTAAACATGCTGTTCTTGATGTGAAAAGTACGACTCAGCATACCGAGAATTTCGAAGGAGACTAAAACTATCAGTATATGTGTTTCCATCAAGGCAAAGAAACCTACCAGGAAACAGATGTGATGTATGCTTCCCAGCATCTTGGAAAGCACGGACAGCATTGTTGTTACATCCAATTCGGATGAGGGTCTGAGAAATCTCCTCACGAGTTGCCAGTTGAAGGAAAGCCAAGTTCTCTGGATCGTCTTCAGGAAACCGGAGGCGTCGCTGATCCAAAAGCACGCTGTAAATAGTTGACACATAGCCAAAACAAAGCTCCTTCACCTGGTCAACGGGAATCACTCGATTTGCTTCGAAGCGACTTCTCCCGTAAATGCTGAACGTGAACATCAATCCGAGATCAGTGACCTTTTCGCCAATAACCATAAAACCATTGCCTTCGGCACGATAACGCTCACGCTTGCGGTCGAATTCTTTCCAGTAGATTCCCAAAGCCGCCAACATCTCGATAAGATGGCACATCGTGGTCGTCGCGTAGGGGCGTAGAACAGTCGCAGGCATTGTATCCCAGCTCTTACGTTTCCGTTGAAGAGCTACTGTCATGGTATGTGCATCATATAGACTGGGAGGGTTGGTGGGAAGATCGTGGTGCTGTGACTGCGCATTGGGAGGCCCAACTTGTTTATGCATGCCCTCATATTGGCTCTTCTGCCACTTTTCCGACTCATGCTCCATTCGCTGCACAGCGCTGAGAAGCAATGTCCACGAAGCTCGCTCATTATCAGCAGTATGGATACGCTCTCGTTTCGTCTTGTTGGCATATTCCTCTCTTGGATTTATGTCCAGCTCAGACCACGTATGTTCGAGACTCTCAGGACTTCCGTCTAGAAAGTATATCTCTGCCCCGCGAATTGGGCCGTGTTGGTTGTCTGGTGGCGAGACGAAGATCACAGGGGCCTCAAACTCGACCTCGAAACGGAGCTCGTCCCAGGAGAAGCGACGAGTTTTTGTAAGTGCCCATTTTCCCATGACCTTCTCGTTGCATTGAGCGTATCCTGCGGCAGAGGCATAGTATTGTTGCATGACCTGCATAAAGGTAGCTGCCAGAGCAACCAAAGACACGAGGAGAGCCACGATGGCCACCACGACTTCGGGGTCCGCTTCAGCCATGGTCTTGAGGTTGCGATATTCTCTGGGCCAGTTCGTTCGTTCGTTCGTCTCGGTCTAGGATGATTGGTACCACGTAGGAGAACGGCTGCTCGGGGTCGTGAAGTCCCGGACAATCTAGCAATCAATTATGGGCACACTGTCCCTGCTCGTCACGGACTCGAAGCCTGAGTTCGATAGAGGTCAACGCGACATGAAGCAATCGTCTCGCACAGCCGTAAACCAATTCCGGCGTAGTTAGTCGTTCAAGGCGTCGCCATCATCACAAAGTAGAAAAAGGCAGAAGAAATGTTGAAAGGAGAACAAGCTGGACAAACCCACAGGCGGAGAGCCTGGTTTGAACTTCGTAGTCGCGCATCTTTCTTAACAAGGACAGGGGATGACACCCAGGGCTGTAGAGTCCAGGGTTCAATTGGGTCAAGTGCTTATTGAGTGGATGCAGTGGAAACGTTTGGGGGCTATGGCCGCATCGAGGGTCGCTGCAGGCCTCAACTCAGGAGGTCGAGTAGCGTTGGATAAAAGGGTTTAGGTAGCGGATTTAATATGGAATATTGCCGCGAATTTATGCATGTTTCTTGGGTTTTAAAGTGAAACCTCGAGAAGGGAAGATCTGACTGGAATTTTACCTCACCAGGCCATGAGTCTTAGTTTCCATTGAGTTAGGTTGCGGCCCGTCATGACGTTGCGGCTGATAGCCTTAAACTTTAGCGGATTTCGCCCTGAATGAGGTGGTTGGTTGACTGTGGGGAGCGGGCGCTAAAGTAATCCCGTCTCGGCTCGCATCAACATCTCAGCCTCAATCAGAAGGATTATTAGGTGGCAATGGGAAAAGATGAACGCTTCATGATGGCCGTTTGGTTGTGAAGCTGAGATATAGTCCTGCTGCCATAAGTATCGGGTGCAATGGTGCTAGTTCTAACGATTGGGTATACTCCGTAATAACACACGGTTGTTGGAACACCTCCTTCAAGTTTCAGGAGTGAAAGAAGGCATCAAAAGCCGACAATAAGACAGCAGGTAAGACTGGACATGCAATGCATTAGCTGAATGTCTATTGTACTAATTCCACCCCTTGGTAGGGCTCGCAAGTCTGAAAACCCTCTGTCAATAAATATGCATCATGTGGAATTGGAGCCACCCTACAGCTTCTCCTTACGCCTCGATTACTCTCCCCATCCGATTCGGTGCAACATGATTACTCCAGGCCACGACATTATCGTCCCCGTCAAAACAATAACCTCAGCATCATACCTCTCATTATTGATAGCCTTCGATCATAAATGCGGGCACAACACCCGCATCTGGAAGAGTTCACGGTCTGCATCTGTCAAAATGATCCGATTTCCTTCCCGTAAAATCCGGTCGGCGTCGAGCAAGAGAGATAAACAACCAAAGCTCCAAGTTTCGGCGTTCAAAGTCCTCCATTTGTCACGAAATATCATGAGCTGCCGACTAGCCATATCCCGTAATGGTTGTATCTCCAGGACTATGGTATATGCAGCAAGGAGAAAAGCTGACCCGTCATCAAGTTGGGTTCCAGGGATGACGGCATGGAGCAAGTAGTTCTAGAACTTGCCCGGGTCCTTATTGCCCATTAGTGCAAGAGGGATCCGAGGAGCCAGGCAAGGCCACAAACGTGACTTATTGTCAGGCATATCCTTCTCCTCCTTGACATAATGCACCTGGCTTAGAATATCACCTAAAGGTTTCAAAGTATCCATGTCGCACGACTCCCACATGCTGAGTAGCTGTATACGAGTAAGGCCAGAATCATCCTGATCAGGAGGAATATATACAAGTGGGAATTGGAGATGTGCAGGAAGAGCTGAGATCTTCTCGTTGATCTCATGGAAAAGGGTATACGACTCTTCCAACCAATTCTGTGTTTGCCTCTTGTCTTTGTCATCGGCAATCAGGTTGACCTGGGCTCTGAACTCTTGCAAGAGGGCTGTCTTTACTTTGTCGCCAGTTTGTTTTTCACAGACAGTGCGAAAAAGCTGCCCGTATAAGGGATGGAAAGCGATGCCCGATACATTGGTCTTGATAATTCGATTGAGATGTTTTGCGATGAAGTCTTTGTAGAGTGCAGTGCCATTGATATACTCTCTGGCCACATTTCTGCTTGTGAGTTTGTTGGCTTGCTTCTGATGGGTAATGACATCGCCATGTAGAAGAAGGGGGATTTCGTTGTGTAGCATGGTCGGCTTAGTGGGGGTGATGTTGCTATAGTTTGAGCCGCAGAGCGTCGCCAAGTTGGCTTCGGAAACTGTATAGAGCAAGTCTGGGTCAAATGTGTAGCTTATTCTGATGGACTCTGGTATGTCGATATTCCCATCAGCCCGCATCCAAAAGAGAAGCAGGCCTATAGTGAGTCGAAAGATGACTCTACGGCTGTATATCGTACGAAAGAGATTGCCTTGTGTCACGGCGGACAGATAGAGATATGGGCTCCAATAGCTGGTGTCGTCATTGAGGTTGTGAGCGGATCCAAGGGTGAAAGAAAATACCACAGCTTTCTTGAGACCCGACGCAACCCTTGCAGTACCCGCGAGACCATTGGCACAATTAATCCAATTCTTGAAACAGTCGCCTAGTTTACCATATTTTTTGGGGAGGAACTCCTGCTCTGCTCTGTAATAAGGTCCACTGATATCCTCCAGCCCCAGCATGGGAGGAGCATGGGCATAAAGAAGGACGACAGTGCCGTTACTTCTCATCTGCAGATACGCGTTGGCAAGGGCCGCTTTGGAAGCACAATTTGATTTGGACGCGGAGCCAACAGTCGGCATCTCTAAATCTTCAACGAATTTGAGTAGCTGGTCTGCACTTAGAGGGCTGGATCTAGAAGAAGGTCTGCACCATCCTGACCATTCTATAACTTTTTCATCAGCATAATCATAATTCCGATAGGCTAGGACTCCAATGCGGTCAAAGCAGTCAGCGACAGACACGAAGTTGATAATATCGGTAATGGCCTTTTTCAACTCCGTGACACCGGCAGCCCTGCCTGTTTCAGCGTCGAAAACGATCATCATATCGTGGGTTTGAGGCGGCTTGCTCATGATGACAATTCTTGATGAGAATAACGTGATTGATGATTGAGAAACGTCTGAAGAAGATGTGTGATGTGGCTTATGACTTGGGATAGTTCAAGATGACGGGCGACGTGTTGTGAGTGTTGATGATGAGTTATTGGGTTGCATAAGGTATGGAAGAAGAGGCACCGTGACTGCTTTGGGGGCAGCCAGTCATTGCGATATCGTCAGTTTCATGGCAGGTACGCCTCCAATCTCAGATATTAGGTAGGTATGTCCCTACCTCATGGATCCGTGCAGCTTTTGATATCGCGAAGGCCTGTAAGCTGGCAAGGGAGGCGGCAGGTTCTTATTGGAAGGAGACATGGCGATGGACCACTGTAACGTACCTACCTAAGTCAAAGTGTCATGGTAAAAGAATCTGTACAAATTGTTCTCTCTGCCTATACCTTACCTATCATACCTACCTAGCATGGGATTATGGCTCGATAATTCATGCCGTCTGTTGTAGGGCATGCACCCAGTGGGCAATGCGTCGAACCTCATCATATGACTTGACGCGAACATGTCACTAGCATGATAGGAGCCAGCCATTCAAACCTGCAGTCATCATGTTGAGTCAACACCGACAATGCTTGTCGCAATTCATGTAGCCTTCTGTCTACTAATTTTCTGCTTTCCGTGACTTAGGTGAGGTGATGGTGGCTTCAGATAGGTAGCTTTTGCCTGTAAGATGCTTACCTAAGGCATGACGCGGTCCCCTGAACAAGCGAGGGAACGTGATATCCAATGGATGTTTCGAAGGAGGCAGCCTGAGCTCTTCCATCTTTCTCCCTCTTCTTTTATTCATCAATCATATCAAAGTACCATCCCAGTCAATACTCATCAAATACAATGTCTCGATTCTCTCGCTACGACACCGACGAGGAGCGTCTTCCCGAGGGCATGCAGAGAGTTGGCTACGATGCTGACACTCAGGTCTACACGTTCCGCGACGCCGACGGCAGCTACTGGGAGAGCGCGCCAGGCAATGAATACGGCCAGCTCACAAAGGTCGGCGAAGCTCGCCCTGAAGGTCAAGAGACCGAGACCTTCCTCATGACAAGCCAGCAGCAACGGCCCAAGATGTCGTGGTTCACCGAGATGAAACCTTTTCTTAACTTTCTCATGCTCGTCATTCTATCGCTTGTCTTGCTCTTCTGGTTCCTCGGCTACAAGGGTTCTTCGTCGGATGAGCGTATTCCCATAGCGGACTGCCCTGAGGGTACGGTTGCGTATGCGATTCACAAGGGCGATACGTGCTGGGAAATTGCGAACAAGAATGGGGTGAGCGTTGATGACTTGAAGGACAAGAATCCGGACCTCAATTGTGAGGCTCTCAAGACCAATGATCGCATTTGTGTGCCTGGCAAGAAGAGTGTTGATTGAGCGCGTCGTACCATGCGTTGTGGATGGGGGTACAAAGCTTCGCCGGGTAACTGTTTTAGCCGTCAGGTACGGCAAACGACGCGGCATGTCCAACAGTTGTGAGCTATGAGCTATGAAGCTGTCTGAACGGAGCTGTGGCGTACAGACTATAGCCTGGGTCAGTTTTGCCTTGGCATCTTCTCTGACGCGTACTGGACATTGCTTGCTGGCAGTTGGTAGCAGCGTTATGGCAATAATATTTCATGCTTGACAGACCGTCAGCCAATTCTTGGATGAAGCTGTATCTGATCGCTGGGTGATAAGCATCCGAAACCCAGGCTTCTGGGAGCGTATCAATCAGCATAACGCGTGTCAAACAGCCAACCAACGTCATCATGGGCCTATCAGCCAACAACCATTGGCCATCATGCACCTGAGCTAGTGCAGCATCTCGGCTGGTGCCAGCAAACTCGAGGGCTTGCTTGACTTGGCTGTCAAGGTTGCATTTATCCGACATCTTCAGCGATGCCTGGAGTAATCAGGCTTCAACAATAGCCATGCCGTGCCATGCCATGCCATGCCACCAGAGACGAGTCTGGACAAGGCTGACGAAACAAAAGACAACAACACATCACTGCCACCCACCAAAGGCGGTCAAGCACAAGCATTAACTAACTACATACAACTTCATTCGGCGTCTTCTTAACCCGTCAGGGAATCATCACCACAAAAAGCCCCGCGCTAAAAGTGGAAGAAACGAGGGGCAACACCAGACCCTGGGCTTGCATGCGCTGGGCTAGTGGAGGACCACCGCCGCGGCGCTGCCAACCAGCGCGCGTGCACCTGCAAGAGCGGGGCCTGGGATTTTTTTTTCTCTTCCATGCTAATTTCGACTCGACTCGAGGAGACCCCAAATAATTTAAAATTTTCGGCGCGGGTCTCTCGCGACTCTTTTCTTTCCTTCTCCACTACTATAAACCTTCGGGTTCTTTTCCTTTTTTCCTTTCCTTTCTTTCTCTTCTTTTCTCTGTCGTTCAAGCTTCGACAAAGAAATCATCATGGATAAGGGGAAGCTTGCTCAGCTCCTTGAAGGGAGCCAAGTCCGTAAGTTCAATCCTCTACGTCAACGATAAACAGCTGGCAAGCTCTGCTTTCCCTTGCTGCTACTTGTTGCCTCGCTACACAAGCATCAAAACTAACGTCCTTTCTCTCCAGCCAACACGGAGCAGGTCAAGGCCGTTACCGCCGAGCTCCAGAAGAACTTCTACACACAACCCGAGTCGCTGCTCGCCCTCGTCGAGATCTCCCTCACACATGGAGACGCTGGTGTTCGACAGCTCGCCTCGGTCCAGGCTCTCCGTCTGATTCCCAAGTTCTGGGAGAAGACCGCCCAGGACCAGCGACAGCTCGCCCGAAACCACCTTCTTGAGGGTGTCCTCAAGGAGTCTTCCGCTGGTGTCCGCCACTCCCTCGCCCGTCTTATCGCCGGCATTGTCAGTGCTGATATGGAGAACGGTGAGGGCGAGGAGTTCCTCCAGCACCTCCTTCCTCTCACCAACAACGATAACGTTGTTGCCCGTGAGGTCGGTTCATTCCTCCTCTACGCTATCCTCGAGGAGGACCCTACCCACTTCGCCGACCACACACATGAGCTTCTCAAGCTCTTCCAGGCTCGCATTGAGGACCCCCAAAGCAAGGAGGTTCGCATCAATATCGTCCGTGCCATTGGCGCTATCCTCATGATCGTCGAGCCCGAGGAGGACCCCGAGTCTCTAAAGGCCATACAGAACTTTGTTCCCAGCCTGGTCAACATTCTCAAGGCTACCGTCGAGGCTGAGGATGAGGAGAGCTACAAGATCGTTTTCGAGGTCTTCCACTCTTTCATTGCTTACGACTCTTCCCTCCTTGCCCTTCACCTTCGTGACCTCCTCACCTTCATGATTGAGCTTGGTGGCAACGTCAACGCCGAGGAGGACGCCCGATCTCAGGCCCTTGCTTTCCTCATCCAGTGTGTCCGCTACCGACGCATGAAGATTCAGGGCATGAAGGACATGGCCGCTGAGCTCATGGTCAAGGCCATGCATATTGTTACCGAACTCGACGCTGATGACGACGAGGAGGACATTTCTCCTGCCCGTACCGCTATTAGCCTCATCGATACCTTGTCCAACGAGCTCCCTCCCCGACAGGCTATTGTTCCTCTCCTCGAGCAATTCCCCCACTTCGCTACCAACAACGATCCTAAGTTCCGCATGGCGGCTATGCTCGCCCTCGGTAACGCTGCTGAGGGTGCTCCTGATTTCATCTCTACCCAACTCCAGCCTCTTCTCCCTACCATCATCTCTCTCCTCGAGGACTCCGAGACTCAGGTCCGACATGCCTCTCTTGTTGGTCTGATCCACCTCGCTGAGGAGATGGCCGACGAGATGTCTTCTCATCACGAACAGATCATCGCTTCCGTCCTCAAGAATCTCGAGGCTGCCTCTCAGGGTCCTTCCGACAAGAAGAATGTCAGCATCATTCGCTGCGCTTGCGGTGCCCTTGATACCTTTGGTGACGGCATTGACACCAAGATCATGGCCCAGTATGGTCCCAACCTAATTGGTCCCATGGTCCGTCTCCTCGACCACGAGGACTTTGGTGTCAAGGCTGCGGCTGCTTCTGCTATCGGTGCTATCGCTTCTTCCATGGAGAAGGGTTTCGAGCCCTACTTCAAGGATGTGATGTCTTCTCTTGGCAAGTTTGTCTCTATCAAGGAGGGTGAGGAGTCTCTCGACCTCCGAAGCTCCACCTGCGACAGCTTGGGCCGCATCGCCATGGCCGTCGGCTCTGAGTCTTTCCAGCCCTATGTCATGGACCTCATGTCCGCTAGCGAGGAGGCTCTCGGCCTTGACAACCCCCGCCTCAAGGAGACCAGTTTCATTCTGTGGTCCAACTTGTCCAAGGTCTACCACGAGCAATTCGACCACTTCCTTCCCGGTGTCTTCAAGGGTCTTTTCTCTTCTCTCGAGCTTGAGGAGGAGGAGATCGAACTTCCCGGTGTTGACGCTAGCCAGCTTGGTGACGGTGCCATCGTCGTTGGTGGCAAGCGTGTCAAGGTTAAGGCTCCCGAGACTCAGGACGATATCACCATCGCCACTGGCGGTGACGAGGACTGGGATGATATCGAGGACCTCGAGGATCTCGGTGCTGTGACCGCTGTCGCTCTTGAGCAGGAGATTGCTCTTGACGTCCTTGGCGATGTCATCTCCAACTCTTGCAACAGCTCCAACCTCGAGACCTACGTCGAGCAGACCATCGAGAAGGTTTCTCCCTTTACCGAGCACACATACGAGGGATGCCGAAAGACCGCCATCTCCACCCTCTGGCGCACGTACGCCCGTGTCTTCCAGGTCTGGGAGGAGGGCGCTGGTGTCAAGTGGGAGGCTGGTCTTCCTCCTAAGCACACTCCCCCTACCTCGCTCATCAGCATGGGCCAGGCTCTTGAGAAGGCCACTATGACCATTTGGTCTGACGACAGCGAACGGTTAGTTTACCCCTTGTCTTTTCTGTTTTTGCCAATATGATGAATACCTTGCGTTATACCCAGCTCACTCAGACGCAAAAATGCGGTTGCTGAGAAAACGTCTAATCTACTTCTGATTCATGGCACTGTTACTTCTTGTTTCTTGCATTCTAGTCTTGAATCATTATTAACAGTTAAATAGTTCCGTCGTTACCGACATCAACCGCAACGTCGCTGCCACCCTCAAGGCTTGCGGTCCTGCTCTTCTTGCTTCCAAGGATGGTCTCCTCCAGGAGATGGTCTCGGTCGTTGGTCTTATCATTACCCGATCTCACCCTTGCCAGCAAGATCTTGGTGACGAGGAGGAGGAACAAGACGTTGATGCCGGTTCTTCCGAGTACGACTGGCTCGTCATCGACACTGCCCTTGACGTCGTGGTCGGCCTTGCTGCTGCTCTCGGCAACAACTTCGGTGAGCTCTGGAAGATCTTCGAGAAGCCTATCCTCCGACTTGCCAGCTCCAGCGAGGACCTTCACCGATCCACCGCTGTTGGCACCATCGCTGAGATTACCAAGTACACTGGTGAGGCCATCACTCCCTTCACTGAGTCTCTTGGCCAAGCTCTTGTCCGCCGTCTCACAGACCCTGACCCTCTGGCCAAGTCTAACGCTGCTTACGCCATTGGTCTCGTTGTCCTCAACTCTGCCGACACTGGCAAGACTTTCCCTATGTACCCCCTTCTGTGGGAAAAGCTCGAGCCTCTTCTGACCGTCAACGAGATGCGCATGACCGACAACGTCGCTGGTGCAGTTTCTCGTCTGATGACCAAGAACCCCAACAACGAATTTGTTGCTCAGGCTCTTCCCGCTGTTGTCAATGTCCTTCCCCTCCAGGAGGACTACGAGGAGAATGCTCCTATCTACGACAACATCTTCAAGCTGTACCAACAGTCCAACCCCACTGTTGAGCAGCTTACTCCCCAACTTATTAACGTGTTCGAGAAGGTCCTCAGCCCACCTGAGGAGCAGCTTGAGTCTGAGACTCGGGAGATTCTCCAGCACACCGTCCAGAACCTGTACAAGGCTAAGCCTGACCTCCTGGCCAACAACCCTGGCCTGCTCAAGCTTGCTGGTATTCAGTAAACGGACACACATCACGACTTGACGAATTTTCGGTTTGGTGGATTATATAAAAGTGACGAACTGCGATATGATTTGATGAAGAAAAAGCACGCACTAGACTACGATGCGTTGATAGAGTATAACGTAGTAGCATCATGCAAAGGAGATGCATGGGTATGAAAGGGTATGGAATGGGAAAAGGAAAATTAGGAATGGCAAGCGCTGGGATTTCACGATGAAGCTTTCATCGCTTCGAGGATAGAGGACTTTTGATACCTAGGATTAGAAAGATACCTTTCCATATGGACATTTGTTTCCTTGATACTGTTTTACAGGTGCACATGTGCATGTCTTGATAAGATGACAACAGAATTGTTGGCTTCAAACTTGATCATGCAATTCGAAAGAACGCCGTAAAATGCTACAGAATAATGCAATCACCAAATCCTTTTGGCAACCATCTCATACCTCATGACCTTCTCAAAATCATCCTTCTTCTCCGTCTTCTCTACCCTCTTACCCGGTCCTTTACCTCCCTTCAATCCCTCGTTCCTATCAGCATGAATCCAACGCTGTCTCTCCTCCCCAACCTCAACCTGACCAAAACCACCGACTCTTCGTCCACCGGGTGTATCAAAAGATTCAGGAGCACGGCCCTGGTGTTCTGCACGCTTCATCTTTGCGTATCTGTTACGGGAGTATTTGAGAAGGATCATGCCCAGAAGGAGTTTGAGAATGAGTAGGACGAGGAAAGCGATGAAGAAGACGACGACCATCGTAATGGCGGCGATAAAGTCGTCGGATGTCCAGGAGTACCAGGGCCGAGAATTGAGGGGTGAGCCGTATGGATAGCCGTATGTTGCGCGGCCGAGGGAGTCGCGGATAAGAGAGTCGAACCGGTTGAGAGCAGCTATCATAGCGGGTGATGAAGGTGTGGCTGATTCCTCGGAGAGAGATGTCTGCGTTGATTGGGGGATGGGCATAGGCATAGGCATAGGGAGATGGGTCGATAGAAGCATGTGGTAGGTTTGAACAGAGGCGCGAATAAAGAGACAGGATAGGGGTATGACAGCGAGACCAAGACGCTTGGTCAGAGAGGGAGTCATGAAAGCCTAGGGCCGTTAGTTGTAACATGACAAGGGATGAGGATGACTTACGTTGGTGTAGTAATCTTTGCACAGGATATCAAGAATACGGCTGTAGAAAGCTGGTTTGATGTTGTTAAACTTCGTCACATAGGCGTGTTTAATGGTATCGACAAGCATCTCACTACCAATGACAATGAAGAAAGGGGACAGAACTTCGCCTGACATGAGCCACGAGGGTAGTACAGTAAAACTGTGTGGTAGGATAGATGGGCTGTGATGTGGTACAGATGTCTCATCGTATGACTCTGAGCCGGCACCTGGGACACTGAGGCCGCCAACCTCGACAACGTTACGCATGCCGATGATGAAGAGCATGATCCAAAGCTGGAAACGCTCGACGATGTCGGCGCAGGTGAGCTGGAAGAGGTTGTCTTTCTCGAAACGCTTGAAGACAGTTGATTTGATCTCAACGAATTGGTTGGAGAGGAGAAGGGTCAGCAGGGCGTTCGAGTAAGAATTGACGGCAACATTGAGGGTGATGACCTGATAGTACAATGCAATCGAGTGAAGACAGCAGTATACAAGAGCAAGCATAAACATGCCCAGCGGGAGAAGGACTTTGGAACGACCAGACGCATTACGTGAGAGCGTTTCCGTGCTGAAGAGGCACTCCAAAATATCCTGTCCCAAGGCTGAAAGAAGGCGATCGCCGACTTCCAGAATGTTGTATATGACGTAGAGTTTGATGGCGGATTGAGCTCGAATGAAGTGATACATGCGACTTGCGTCTAGAGTCATCAAAGCCATGGAACTGCATATTATGACAGCGCCTTGGAGAAGATCAGCTTTGTGAAAGGCTGAGAGATTTGAAGGCATGGATTTCGTCCTCTTATGACGGAATGCCCCAGACTTGGGTTGAGATCGAGACTGCAAAGGCTTGAAGTGTCCGTTTCCATTCCCGTTTGCATTGAAATCATGACTCCCGTTTTCATCGTTTGAACGACCTCGAGGACGGCTCTCACTGCGTGATCTTCCTTCGTCAGAGGTCTCATCGGCTCGCGAGGTCCTACCTCTCCGCCAAAGCCGTCCTAGACCATACCACACGAAGCCGAGGAGCCATCGAACTTCTTTGAGGATGACATAGCCCCACCAACGAACCAGCATGCTTACAGCTTGGACAAAGCGCATGGGAAGGATGGTGAAGTTCCAGAGCCAAGCATCAAGACATGCTAGAGCCCCAAAGTTAAGCGTCATTTCGAGATGGGGCGGTAAGAGGATCACATTCTTAAGACGCTCGAATTTGACAGCATTGGATTCGTAGGGAATATCGTAAGCGTGGGACTGGTGGATGTACAACGGACTAGGTCTTTGAGCTGCCAATTCCAGCTGTAGATGTGTAGGTAACGACATGGGCGGGAGAGGAATGATGGGTGGAATCGGTGATGGTGGTCGAAGGCCATCTGAGTCTGTTTGGAGAGGTATGGCTGTCGCAGGTGTTGACCGGGCGCTGAGAACAGGAGATGTTCCGCCTGCACCATCGAGGTTGATATGCAAAGACGTGGGTCGTCCAGTTGAGTTGAAGGAAGAGTATCGTCTCGGTGAAGATGTCCGGCTCGAATCGCCGGCTAAGACACGGCTCGTAGGGGGCGTAGATAGAGTTCTCGCTCCAGGCGAGGGGCGTCGGTGGATGTCCATCTGAATATCTCTCGCAGTCCGCAGAGCAGAAGTCGAGCCAGGACGAGCTTCTACGGCGACACCATTTTGCTGTACCGGGGGAGGCGCATCATCGAGGCCCACCGTAGGTTGTCGTATAGCCTCGCGCTGATCGAGAAGATGTGATGCAGATTCTTGGTCAATTGACCTCCGATCTGGCGCGGGGGCCACAGGTAACGACTCAGGAGAGTTTGTGAGGCGCTGCATCTCGGTCGCGGAGAGACGTCGAACGTTAGGGTTCGTGGTATTACTTATCGTACTGCTGCGACTGGCCCTGCCAGAGGGTACAGCGGTGCTGTCATCCTGGTCCTTCTCTTTGTCTAGAGTCTCCTCCGCGGGCTCTTGTTCTTGATCCTCGTCATCCTCGACCGCTGGTTCGGAAATAGACGAGTTGGACTCGACGCGACGCACGCTGCTACTTCTGTGGGAGCCTTCTTCAGAAGAGTGGTCTTCGTCGGAGGGAATCGTGGGGAGTTTGTCGTTTGTCGTGTCGGCGCATGATGGAGGAGGAGTCGAGGATGGAGATAGAAGCGGTGGGAGGTGATGAGAATTGATGGAATCGACGGAGGCGGCCATCACCAAGGCTGAGACTCTCGAAGCATGTTTTTCCCTCGTGAATAATGAGATTTTCGTAGCGAAGGTCAATCAGTTGGAGGTTGTCGCGTGTGGTGAAAGAAGAGACGTTGCAGCGGAAAATGGGATTGCCAGCAATTGAATCACCATGAGACAAGACGCAGCTGGACTGGACTGGAGTGAACCGGTTCACTTGACGGTGGGTGCGCCACAGTGGAGTCGGCACCGAAGGTTCCCCTGAGCGGGAGAGCGTGCTCTGAAGGCACTGAAACTTTGGGGCAGTGGAGCTCTATGCAGGGGTTGTGTCAGTGGCTTGAGATGAGAATGGATCCGTGGATCTGGATACCGTGGCGGGAAGAGCATCGCGAATCTGACTGTGAAAGCCAAGACGGGTATAACAAATAGTAACTGTAGGACTGATATTGCTACCAACTACATTTCGCGATATATCTGGATTTTTATGTAACACTCAGGACTTTCTCTTAGTTAGAGTCTGCAGGCCCTAGATCCTCTCTGCCTCTGCCGTCGTAAGGTTTCGCTTCAGTCCAAGACAAGGTTTCACTGAGCATGCCGCATACCATTTACATTCTTGAACCTCTATTAAGGACTAGGTATCTTTATATATCATTAACTCATCTACATGGCTCTAAAGAAGGTACTCATCAAACCACTGCACAGCCTGGAAGAAAGCCTGCTCCTTGGCAAACTTCTTTTTCTTATCACTCAGATCAGCGCGCACAGCAAATCCGTGCTCGACGTGAGAGAACAAATTGATCTGGAAAGGCTTGCCAGTCCCAATCAGAATCTCCTCCGATTTGTGACGCTTTTCGGTGGGGAAGATTTGGTCGGTTTGAGCAGCGGCGATAGAGAGGGGCCCGGTGATGGCCTTGAGCTCTTCTTCCTCGACGAACGAGGGGTGAGCGACATAACCGACATCGATGCCCGCCTTGTAGTTGCGAATAACGTACTGAGACTGTTAGCGATGCGCTTTTGAGTCGAGGTTGAAAGACATACCTTGGCGCCGAAACAGTATCCGACAGCTCCAATCTTAGTAGCACCCTGCGCCTTGAGCGTCTTGATAGACTCGGCGATAATAGGGTCGATCTGAGCGGGAGTATGAGGGTTATCGCCCTTGGCACCCTTTGTGATCCAGCTCATGATATCAAGACCCTCTGGCATAGGCAGAGGCATAACATCGCCGTTGAAAATGTCGGGAATGATGGTGGTGTAGCCGTTGGCAGCGAATTGATCGGCCATCAACTTGCTATTGGTCCAGATTCCGTAGATATCGGCAATGTAGACAATTCCGGTTCCCTTGTGCGCCTTGTCCGCGGGAGCTGTCGCGATGTAGGCGTCAAGACCGCTATCGAGCTTGATCATCTTGCCGGTGGGCTCGCCTCTGTAAATGAAGCATTAGATATAAAATTGCGTGGAAACCATTTTCGGGGTGACATACTCATGGCGAACGCCCTCAGTGCAGCACTTGGCAGGTTGGTTAGAGGCCATTGTGATAGTGATTGTCTACTTCTCTGCAGAATTGTTGAGTGGAGGGGAAGTTTCTCGGGGGTTACTTGGCCGAGTTTATATCCTCTTCGAAGCGGACCCAGGCGTTTCCGTGTGACGCAATTAATCGAGGCCGAGATGCCGATGTTACCCCACAAACAATAGCAGTTCCGTGGACCAATTCCGTGGTGCTTGCTTTCTAAGCAACGTCGCCGTGCTAATTGGTGAAAGGTGGGATATCTGGGTCTGCGAGAGGAGTCTTTTGGTGGATGGTTTTGAAGCTATCCCCATTGGGCTTCATTTTTCGCCTTTAGAGTTTTAACTCCGATGGGATATACGGATATGGACATTGGGCCAAATGCCGAATTACATAACTCGTCCACGGCACATCGTTTGACTTGAGGATGTCGGTAGAGGTGGGATGCGGTGAATGGCATTCATTATTCGTATAGTTGGTATCATTATGTGCTCCAGCAATGTAAGTAGTTGTATAGTACACCGCGACAATCTCGTCACTTTTGTCGAATGCCCTTGGGTTTTCTCTTCTTGAACACCACCGTCTGTACTCCCGACTCAGCCTCCTCTGGCTCTGGTTTTATCAGAGGCTCAGCAGGTGCTTCTGTCTTGACGTCCGTGTTATCCTCCGGCTTGACTTCTGCCTCATCTTCTGTCTTCACTGTTGTATCCGGCGTCGCATCGTCCTCTTTCTTGACATCCGTCGAATCCGCTGTTTCCTGCTTCACAGCCCTAGGTGTAAACGTCGATCCGCTCAGTAGCGCATCAAGTTCCTGATCTTCTTGTTGCGGCATAGCTTTTGAGTCTCGTCCCCATCGTCTTGGCTTCTTGAATAGTCCGCGCACGGCGTTTTCCTCTTCCTTCTCATCCTCCGTCGCTTCGCGCTTCCGTACACCATTGGCTCTAGCTTCTACCTTTGCTTCTTCGTCTTCTTCTGTCTTCGCCTCGATAATTCTCGTATTCGTAACCGTCCACTGGCCAGGCATGGCCATCTCAGGTCGGAAGTCACTCGGGATCGCGACGCCCATGGCAGCAAGCTGTTCTCTCTGCTTCTTCAAAGATGCTTCTGTCGGTGCGCTCTGTTGCACGCGCGGTGCAGGTCTTGACGATGGACCTGCCGCTGTGGATGAGCCTCCGACAACTCCATTGAGGCGTTCGACTTCCCGTTTGGCGCGGTCTTTTTCGCGCTCTTCTCGCTCGTGGTTACGGTGCAGATCGCGGAGGAAGCGCTTTAGTGCACCTTGATGTTTGGCGGTAGATTCATGGTTTTGACGCTCGAGTTTTGTGTCGCGAACATAGGTCTCGCAGTGCTTACACCAGTATTTGGGCGTGGATTTCCAGTATTCTGACATTTTCGGTGGTGATGTCGAAAGAAGGTTGCCTGAATGTTTCTAGAATTGGTGGCTTGGAATCAAGGTGCTTATCCTGAGCTGCAATGCTAATGCACGGGCCATGTGTGAGCTTTAGGGTAAGCAAACTTCTTTGATGTGGACGTCGACTAGAGCTAATGAAGAAGCCAACGCAGATTGAACTTGTCAGTAATTCTAGTTGAAAGTTGTGTAATTACCTGTCTCCTATAGCTTTGGATATGATGTGCTCGAATGATGGATGATTGTCGTGGTCGGTGTCACTGCCACTGACACACTTCGAAGCAATTATCGTGCTTACATGGTGGCGCAAATTGGTAGTGCAACGACAAAACATCAAATAGCTAAGAGTCGACTCCATGTATCATGTTTCGAACAAGAGAAAGTTGAACACGAGCCTGCATTGCATATAGACCTTATAGCCAATGGGATCCAATCCCTGGTCCTTGATGACTTTGTTCTGCTGATCCCAGAGGCTAGAAGGAATCACTTCCTGCATGGCGATCTTTGATGTTTGTGTTTAGCGCAATGATGCATCGAGTCAATAGAATAGACACTACTTTGCACCAAGTGTTATTGGAAGGAAGACTCGTCGAGATTGATCGTACGAAGCTATCCTTCTTGGGCAAGTCAGTCAGCTCATGCCGACAAGGACCCTGCATCTATTCTCCGAATGGCCTGAGATACGCGAACGAGAGATCCAAAAGACCTCGTGTTTCGTTTCGACAATCTGAGGATCTAGATCATCTCAAACCGAAGACACTTTATCTGTAAGCAAAATAATAAAAATCTTGACCAAACAGGTATAAACTTCACCACTTCCCTCATCAGTCAGACAATATGGCAATGCTGTCATACTCTAGAAAAAGCGTTAGCCCAGCCGCCGTGTCCTGGCCCCTTGCATCATCCCTGGATCCCAACACCCATCAGTGGAGCATCGTTCAACGTTCAATACGATGTCGTACGTATTGTAAATAACGCAAAACTCAGTTCATTGTAATTTCTCTTGGCGCTTACAGTGTTGGCCGCCAATAAGCGCATCCTAGACGCATTGCCTATTCTGGGTCCTTAGCAAGCGATGATTCGGCGGTGGCGGTTCTTTTTTCTCCGAGTCAGAATGAGGCAAAGAATGACGAGAAACTTGGCGGTCGCTCTGCCGTTGAGCCGCATCCGCAAGCTTGGGATGCTGGGCGGTTATGGACTTCATGTCATGGAGGATGAATGCAACAAGGGATTGTTTATATTAAGACAAGACCCTGAATTTGTAATGCCGGCCTATTGGGATGTAAACTTTCCTGTTCCTTGACGATCTGAACCATGCAAACTTGCTTCCATCAACGACGTTCGTCATATCACATCTCACTTCACACTCAGCCTCCAAAGTTGCAATCCATTATGTAAATAAGTCCCTTAAACCGGCTGTCCTCTGATTGTCCATTGGACTCTCTTCATACGCGATCGGGGGCCATTCCTAGAGCGAGGTCGTCGGGTCCAGTTACCGATTCTGGTCTTTAACAGCGGAATGTCCGTAAACCGCACCATATTTCTTCTTGTACCCACATCATCCACTGTCAGACTCTTTAACGAATCATGTACTACTTGTCTTTGCTTGTTTCTACAGGGTATTGAGAAAACTCTGCAGAGTTTCTCAGCCGAGGATCCACTGGTTCACTGCTTTCTTGCGCCTTTGCCGCAAACGAATCATGAAGTACGTCACGTGAGGAGGCGATACACGTGACCTTCCCGAGAGCTGAACGGAAGACTTTGAGACTATGACGTCATGTGTTGTCTTGGCATTTCATCTCGTAAACTTCCTTCGGATCGCCATCCCGTGAACAAGTTTATATGTCATGTTACAACGGCACCTAGCAACAGTACGTATCTGAAGCGATGCGACGATCTCGGCGACTTGCGAAACGAACATCATGGAGAAGGAGAAGCTTAATTTGCAAGACGCGTCGAACGGACTCTTCTCATCCTTGAGCTTCATGAGGTTGTTTGATGGGTACTATTATTGGGGACGCTCTTCCTGATGAGAAGAGGTTCAGTGGAGAAAAAACAGTTGCCTCCGCCTCCTCTAATATCGACGATATCCACCATCTTCACTCGGACTCGTCCTCTCGCTTCTCCAGTTGCTTAACGAGACTCCATAATGACGCGATGTCTGCAATTCTCGCTCTCACTCCTCAACAAGGGTTCATTCATCACCATCGAAGGATTGATCACGACCCACCGAACTCTCCACCACCACCACCATGTCTGAGTCTTCTGGGATCGTCTCTATGAGTTCCATTCTCATAAATCCCCTTGCTCTCGCTCTCTCCTTGACCTCTTTCTCTCTCTTCATCCCCATCTCCCATCTCCACATGTCCTCAACCCCAGATCACTTCTGAGGTTGGCAAGTGGTTTTGTGCTGTCTCATAAACTAACAGCAACTCGGCCGAATTGTCTCCAACATGTCCTCCGACTCGGAAAAGGCCTCCAAGAGGGCCGAGAGCCCCAGTCCCATCGTCGAGAATGACGGTGGTAACGCTGATGGCCTTCATCGTCGTCTCAATAATCGTCAAGTTCAACTCCTCGCTATCGGAGGCACCATCGGCACTGGCTTGTTCATCGGTATCGGTGCCGGTCTGGCTAAAGGTGGCCCTGGCAGTCTCCTCGTCTGCACAGCTCTCTACGCCATGGTCCTCGGTCTCACCAACAACTCGATTGCTGAGATGAACACTTACATGCCTGTCTCCGGTGGTTTCATCCGTCTTGCTGGTCACTGGGTTGATGACGCCCTCGGCTTCATGGTCGGATGGAACTTCTTCTTCTACGAGGCTCTCCTGATCCCCTTCGAAATCGTTGCTCTGAACCTCGTTGTTTCATTCTGGAGTGACAATATTACTGACGCTGGTCCAACCGCCGGCTTCATCATTGCAGTCATCATCGCATATGGGTAAGGCTCAAATCCCGAGCTGCATCCTGATGAACATCGTCACGGATGCGCTCCATGGTTTCTTTCCTCAATTCTGCTTCCCTCCCTCTCCCTGTCTATGTGTGAATGCATGCTAAACATTCGTCTCCTCTTCTAGTGTGTGCAATATTCTTGCTGTTGGTGTCTTTGGTGAAGCTGAGTTCTGGCTGGCCCTGGGCAAGGTCCTCCTGATCTTTATCCTCTTCATGTTTACGTTCGTGACGATGGTCGGGGGTAATCCCCAAGGTGATGCTTATGGCTTCCGTTACTGGTCCAATGCGCATGATGCATTCGCAACATTCCGAACCGAGGGTGATCTTGGACGTCTCGAAGGATTTATGGGTGCATTGGCATCCGCTGCCTTCTTTGTCGTCGGCCCTGACTATATCTCTATGGTGGCCGCCGAGTCCAAGCACCCCAGTCGATATGTCAAGACTGCCTTCAAGACCTGCTACTTCCGTTTCGGTCTCTTCTTCATCGGCGCTGCCCTTACTTGTGGCATTGTTCTTAGCCACACTGACGAGACACTCGTTGAGGTTCAATTTGGCAGCGGATCCGGTGGTGGCACTGCTGCTGCCTCTCCTTGGGTCATCGCTATGTCCAACCTCGGTATCGAAGGATTGCCCCATCTCGTCAATGCCCTTCTTTTCACGACTATCTTCTCTGCCGGCAACACATACACGTACTGCGCGACCCGTTCCCTGTACAGTCTCGCGCTCGATGGACGTGCTCCTGCCTTCCTCCGCAAGACCACCAAGAGCGGTATCCCCATCTGGTGTTTTGCCGTTACCATGGTCTTCCCTCTGTTGGCCTTCCTTCAACTCGACAGCTCCTCAGCTGAGGCACTGACTATCCTTCTCGCCCTCATCACTGGCGGCGGTATTGTGGATTATATCACCATGAACATTACCTTCCTCTTCTACTACCGTGCGTGCAAGGCACAGGGCATTGATCGCAAGAAGATGCCCTACTTTGGCTACTTCCAGCCATACTGTGCCTGGATTGCTCTTATTCTTCACACCGTCGTTTGTTACACCTATGGATACACATCCTTGGCCCCATTCGACGCGAAGAACTTCTTTTCCAACTACACCATGCAACTCATTGCTCCCTTCATGTACTTGGGATGGAAGCTTGTCAAGCGCACCAAGATCATCAGTGCCAAGGAGTGCGATATTGTTTGGGAGCGACCTGTCATTGATGCCTACGAGGAGCGTGCTATGATCGTTGACCCTCCTACCGGCTTCTGGGAGGAGATCATTGGCCTTGTTGGTATCAAGAAGAATAAGAAGAAGAACGCTGCTGAAGCCCATGTCTGAGCGTGCACCTGGAAACGGTGAACGCGAATGAAGAATGATGCTGCGACATCCATGATGCGCAGAAGCAGCGAGTCAATTCGACGATCGTCGCGACTGAGAAGAGTTTCAGCTCTGCTGATCATCATCATCGCTTCGATGAGGTTGTGGATAGAGCCTTGCTGCGTCGCCTGAAGTTACAGGCGGCATAAAAGATACCCAAACGTCATTCCCAAATGGGTCGCGTGACGATAGCTTGTATGAATTAGAGTGTATATACGAATATCTGAATGAACATATCCTGCTATGATTGATCTATTTGCGCCTCCCATGAACATGCCCATTCAGTGTTGCGGTTCACTGAGAAGTGAAACTCTGTCCCCTAAGTTCAGGCTAATGTACCTAAGTCTTAAAAGTCGCTCAGTCCTGGTCCTAGGTTTTATTACCTCCCTTAGAGCAGGCGGCAGGGATATCGCGCACCGGACGTAGGTGGGGCCTTACGGCCTGAAAAGCCAGCTCCGTACTTCGGATCGGCGTCGGCTGCCGAGTGGATTCCCCGGGAGGAAGAAAAAGACCGGCTGAACGCAGCGTTGTAATTTCTGGGACCTCATCTATCTCTTTGTGAGGTCGAATGAAGCTGTAGGTGATCCGCTGTCTGGGTGTGCGTGGCTGGATGCCGTCGGCTATCATCCTAATGGTGCTGAGCAACCATCACATCTCCCAGTAATAGCCCTGCCGCTCAACACTCGACATGCTCCCACATCTTTCTTTTGGCCGCAACAGTTGAGTATATCGAATAACACTTGACTTGTACTCAATCTCAAGCCAGTACCTTCGTTTGGCGTATTCCAAGATGCTCTCCACAGAACACTTCCTATCCTGCCTTTGCAATGGAACCCGAACAACCCATACTCCAGACCAGTATTTCATCTCCGGCTCACCGCTCAAGAGGCCAAGGGAAATTCGCTTTCGCTCTGTGTGCATACCAACAAATAGCCATTCTCGAATAACGAAATCTAGGCTTGTAGTACTGAGAGTGGGATTCATGGGTTTCCCCAGATCGTCAGGTACCTTGGCGCCATGAAGCATAAGAAACTTGACTGCCTCCCATCTGTTGTTTTGAACGGCAGCATTTAGGGGCGATCCGTGTTCACGACAATGGTGTTCGAAATCACTAATCCCAAGCTTGATGAGGTTCTGAATCGCCGGGATCGAACCACAGCAGGCTGCTCGACATAACAAACTATGAGTACCAGGAGTTCCCAGGCCACATAGCTGGCGGACACCCTCAATCTTGATTAAAGGTTTGACATAACGAAAGCTGTATATTAGCGCGACCAAGATGTCTACTCCGTTGGAGAAGAAACGGTCAGGCCAGTTGCTGAGCTTTGCCACCTGTAGATCGAATCTCATGTCCAACATGCACAACAAGTAACCCCGGCAAGGTCTTGTAAAAAGACAATGGGAAGCGGAGTAACCAAAAATATCGCACAAGTGTAGATCGACGCCATGATCTAGGAGCTGCTTGAAGAGCCCAATATTGGGTTTGGTGTCTGGTTGGCAAGTCCATAAAGTCATGAGGCCGAGGAGATTTCTTCCGTCCACATTAATCCGTTTGCTTGATAGGCCGGCCTTGAGAAGGATGTCAACCATTCTCCACGATTTCTGTACGAAAGCCACATCAAGGAGTCCGTGAAATGAAGTATTCACCACGTCGACGTGGGCACCACGATTGAGGAGCAACTCTACAACTTCTGTCGCACCTTGCTCAACTGCAACGAATAGAGGCGTGCAATTCCTGTCGTCCGTTGTGTTGATATGGGCTCCATGAATAAGCAGAGCGTTTACTGCTGTCACATTGTTCTGCGCGGCTGCCACAAAAAGAGGAGTCCTGTTCTGATGACGGATGTCCTTCTGATTAATAATGGCACTGAGCGACTCAAGTTTTGAGGTGCATCTAAAGATGAAGTCACCTGAAATGTCCCGGAAGAATCTTCTGTGTATCAATTAGCCGCTTACTGCTTCGGTGAATGTTACGAGTTGCTTACGTGACTTCACCACCGCCCAAGGCCTTGCCCTGGAGTTTGTTCAGCATTATGACGAGTCCATCTGTGTTACCTAACATGAGAGGTATGTTCAGTATACTGCGTTGTTGATGTGAAAAGGAACCCTCCTCTGCAAGGTATGCATCCAATAACGTCGAAAGAAGGATATTCAGATTGGGTCGCTCTAAGACAAGGTCGAGCACTGTACAATGTGTATCCTTAGTAGGATGGGCCATGATGGTTGAAACAGGCGCACCCTTCCTAAATAGCCACATCATCACCTTGCAAGAATCTCGGAATATGGCCAGAGCCAATGGGGTCACAAGCACGGGAAAGGGTAGCTCACACTCCAAAGGACAGCCGAGACCGTAAAGCTTCTCACAAGTCTGTACATCATCAAGAGAAATAGCCCGATAGAATGCACATGCTAGAGCGTGCATACCACATGATGTTTGTGACAAGATGCCGAATCCATGCAGGGATTGAATGATCCCAGAGAATCTGGGCTCATATAAAATGACGGACAGTGCTTTACTGCTTGTCCAGTGTTCTTCCGTTCTGCAAAAAGGCAGGAGAAGGGAAACAGCCTCGAGGCGTAATTGAGTCGCTGCAGCACAAATAGGGGTCTCATGGTGCTTAGATGTTACTTTTAGCGCAACATCAACGTCGCCCAAGTTAAGTAATTCCTGCAGAACCATCACGGAGTTCATCTCTGCAGCTAAATGCCACACGGTCCTGCCCACGTTATCGGTGTCAAGAATTGATCCACCAAAGCGTAGTAGGATTTGAAGAGCCTCACAAGTGTCATCCTGACAGCACATATGAACTGGCTTGGAACCTTCTGGACTTTCAGCACACGGATCCAGGCCAAAGGTTAACAATGGATCCAGCACTCGATAAGATCTCTCAAGTAATGCAAGATGAAGAGCATTCCAGCCAGGACGCTCAGGATCAATGTCTGTCGACTTTGCCAATTCAGCTCTCGGAGTGGCAAGGAAAGCGCTCACCCCAATTTTATTGTTCAATCTGATCAGTGAATGGAAGTATTTGAGGACCTCTTCGTTACTGGTGCCGTCAAGAAACTGCCTCTCTGAGGACTGGAGTGGTCTTCTTTCCCTTGTTCTTAAGATGAAGTCTGCGGTCTCCTGGTGAAGAAGAAATCTAGGGCAGCCTGGTGTATTGTTTTCGCCAAGGGCGTTGAGTAATTGTGGAAAAAGAGACCACATCTGAGAGGTCTCGGATGTAAAAGCAGGCATCTGCAGGCACCGATCATAACGAGTCTTGAAGAGTTGTACATCGTGAGCCGTGATTGACATACCAGCCCTAAGAAGCTCGATGATAACTTGAACATTGTTGGTAAATATGTCAGGGCATGACAAAGTGAGGGACATGATAGTTTCTGATGGCAATGGGGACGTCAGGGGTAAGGCTGAAGCTTTCAGCAACAATTGGACTGTTTGTAGCCGAGCCAGGTGCGCACCATGGAAAACTATTCGATCAGTAATGGGACCACCGGATATGATATCGTTGCTTCTTAAGTTCAGAAAACTATAAAAGAAACCTCGGCCGCCAAGGGAACAGTGTAATGGAGTACCGAACCTGCTGCATGCCAGCACATCAGAGCCACTTTCCAGCAACTCTTGACATATGTCGTGCATACTGAATGCAGCTGCCATGTGGAGAGGGGTGAATTCAGGCCTGAGCACTGCAGTAATAACTTGCGATAGAACTCTTCTTGACTCAGAAGAGCTGTTTGTTGAAGACGAGGGATGATGACTGAATATGAAGTCAATTGCCCAAAGACAGAAGGTGGGTGTTTTGGATGGTTGGAAGAGCTTCCGCAGGAGTCTATGTGTCCTATCTTCCATAATTGACGATGGTGTTGTATATGGCGTCCAAGTCAATGCCGATTTGCAGTAAAAGGTTCTGCGTCTGCGTCGAGCAAGCAAGTCCCCGATACTACGTGTTATGTCAGGGGTAGGCGGAAATCGCTCCATGTCCTCCATAGTGAGGAAGCGTAAACAGAGGAAAGAAAAGAAGTCTATACCATCTATGCGCGATACAGCGTATTCTCTGAGCTTTGAGTATTGATGATCCGAATTGCGAGTCTTCAAGGACAGAAGATATTCTTGGACTGTAAAGTGTGCAAACTGAATTCTTTTGCCATCGGCGAAGGAGCCGGATTTGTTGACTCGAACAAGGCTACTGCATCACCGAAGCAATTCTTCTTCCTCTACAATCTCATCATCTTCGAGAGTTGTTGCACCGTCTTCCAAGGAAATGGCCTCGCAGATTTCTTCAAAGCAGAGTGAGGAGAAAGACGTCGCGAGCATTAATAGCGTCCCCTTGACCAGTCGTTTTACCGCATCGTTACAACCATCAATTCTTAGTAAGATCCGATCATAAGTTGCATAGAGAGAAGGGGGAAGCTTGCTCAAGGCCTCACGTCGAGCTCTGTCTGTTGGGAGTTCACACATGTAGTCCAGTTGGCAGGCTACCCAGCGAAACCTCGAGAACCATTAATTAGAAGTGAGTCGCATCGGAGCAAGTGTAACTTATATCCCTTTAGCTTCCCCAACCAATCTCGTCACAATGAGGTCGTTCAGATTTGGGTCACGAAGCCTCAGCCGTTTTGAAGTAATCCTTTCGTTAAGTTCAGAGGCGACATAGAGTTGCAGGTCCTCAGTATGAGCCTCAATTTCGACATGAGAAAAGTCCCTTTCTAGACGCGTGCGTATAATGCTCTCGTCCCGGCTAAATAATGCCATGTTCATAACATCATCCCCTTGTGACAGCGCAAGCTCGGCCAAGCACTTTACATTTGCTTCGACTCGATTGTCACACTCATCGATACCATCGACGATAATATAGACGCGAGTAAAGCAAGCACAGATACGATGTAGTATCTGCGTGAGCATTTCGACGGTGGGCTTTGTAGAGAGGTGATGACTTGAGAACAGTTGGTCGTGATACTCCTGTAAGATACGGAAAGCTTTTTCGCTCTGCAGGGCAAGTTGGATGCAAAGGGAAGAAAGAATGTTGACCATATGCTGGGAGCGCTCATGTCTATAGGTGCAGAAGAAGTACGCTATTGCTTTGTGTGCATCATGAGCGTTTCTATGCAAACACTCCTTAATCACGGCCGCAGAAAGGACTGACTTCCCAGCACCAGGTATACCACTGCACCAGAGTCTTGAAGCCGGAGTTGAGTACCAGTAGTCAAACTCTGGACCTTGCGTGAGCCAAAGGCCGGTGAGACCATGCCGTAGGCTATCGTTCGTCTCGTATTCACCCCGAGGATTGAATTGGCCAAAATATTCGAGAACTTGATTCCTTTTTGTATCGAGGGCAATCTTGACTTGTATATCCAAGATCTTTTCAGCGGTACGATTGATCTTTTCAAGGCCATCCTTCATTTCGATTTGTCGGGATAAGCAATGTTTGAGCTTGGCTAGAGAGTCGGCGGCGAGAGCTGTGTGGATGATCTGGTTGTAGCGCTGTATATCCTGGATCATGTCCCTGGACTCGGTTGAAGTGAAAGGCCATTTCAGTCGCGCTCGCAGTCTTTGGCGCCCAGAACCCGAGTCTAGGGAAGTCTCTGTACGCGAAAGGCCCGTCTCCAAGCGTCTCAGCAGCTGGTGGCAATCGTGGAGATAATGCGGTTGAAGAGCAGGTGGCGGCTCGTGAACAGCAGCAGTTGTTTCGGGTCGTCCAGTTTCTTCCAGGTCAAAAGCGACAAGGGAAAGGTTGTGCAAGATGACAGAGAGACTTCTGACTTCGCGCATGAGGTTTCCAACCTCTGTTGGGGCGCCTCTGTAGCTCTTGACGTATTTGGTGCCTGATCGAAAGACGAGATCGGCAAGAGCAACTAACCCAGCGATGCTCGCTGAGATGGAAAGAGGGTCCGCCATTCCAACCTGTGGAAGGTAGGTTGAGATGAAAACGGCAAGAATGAAGAAAGCAAAGAAAGAACAGGAGCATGAACGAGATCCGAACTTCCTCGATTGATCGAAGAGAGGCACGTACCCTGGGTGCCACTCAGAAACTGGTACGTGTTTCAGCCGCTGTCAGCTCAGAGAGCCTTACGGTCAGCCTGCATCATGATGGCAGACGATGGTGTATTGCACAGCCAATCCATTGGAGCAAACGCCCGTTCATGGCGCACCCCAGCGCTGAAAATAGTGATAAAGTCCCAAGTCCGTGGCCGTTTACACGATTTCAGCCTCCGAGCTTCACTACACAATGCATGATGCCAATAACGAGACTGAATTTTGGGATGATTCGCCAACAATTTCGCCACGGATCTTGCACCCTTAATTGTCCTCTCTGGCGAACAAGTTATGAAGCAATTTCTCAGTGAGTACACGACAATCATTGATGTTGTCATTTTCGTATTTGGTCTTCTTGGAGTAACCACAGTCGTCGCAGCTTGCATCCGGGGAGTGAGCAGCGCATTCCTCAAACCCGTCATTTGACGAGCACGCGAGCCTCATGCATGCCCGATGTTGAATTTTGCTCCTCTACAAGCGACAACGTATGTAAGCTTTGGTAAAATGAAGGCATCTTCGACAATCCCTTCTTCCGAATTTCTTCATCTTACCTTTTCGATAATTTTATCGAAATTATGTAAAGTGTCGCGAAAAGAAACCTAGATCAGAGCTTCCTAGGGTCGACATTAAAGGTGGTATCACTGAGGATAATGCTGATAAGATGACGAACTCAACCGTAAGTAGACAATGAAGTACTTCCATATCAGACACGAAGCCCGATTTGCAGAGAAAGAGACGTACGCAAAGGGATTAAATTTCGGGGCTAAGCAATGAAGCTCGAAATGAACCACCATCAGCAGTCCGGCTTCACAACATTCTTACAGCGGGCTGGAAGAATACTCATGTCGGGTAAGCTCTTGGATCATGTCATAGACTCATACAAGTCATTTGGCCAATAGCTTCGGGGTCTGGAGGATGTACCGTCATTGATTGGTTCGAGAACCTGGAGCCTTGAAGGCTTGTACTAAACTTTTATCGCAGCCTTTGACACAGTCAGACGAGAGAGTATGATAAGTAATGTAGTCCTAGAACTTCTCATGGAAGCGAAGAAGAAGCCCCAGTGGTGTCAGACACCAAGAACGGTCTCAAGGTATATGCCAATATCTGATTGATATATGAGTACATACAGATGGATGAGATTCCTCGATAGGCTCACTATTCATCTTCCGAGGAAATGCTAGTTGATATCGGGCCTTTTATGTCAAGGTCCCGAGTCTTCGGTTAGCTATGGCGGAGACGGAACTACGGCCTTGGCAACGCTAAGAAAAAGACACGAGCTTATAATGGCCTGCCCCCAAAGTCTGCCGATGGTCCGATTTTGTGGTCATATGTACGAACTGTCCCATGTATCAGTCAGTATATGAGATGATATATAGTCTCAAAGTCCAGTAGAAATTGGTTCTGGTCCGAACATATCGATTTCCAACATGAACGCCAAAGGCACCCCAGGGCAGCCGGATTTGGAGACGCAAGAGATTTCGCCGACTTCCGAAAAAGCCCCAGATGGAGGATACGGTTGGATCGTCACAACCTCAGTGGCTATCATCAACGGCCATTCATGGGGTATAAACGCAGCATATTCCGTATTCCTCGCCCACTTCGTCAAGGAGAATACATTTCCTGGTACAACGCCACTGATATACGCCATCGCTGGATCTCTCAGCGTAGGGGTCATGATGCTCATCTCACCATTCGCTACTATAATGGCTAGAGAACTCGGTACAAGGCCGACGATGCTTATTGGGGCTATTATACAGTCAGTAAGCCTTGTCTGTGCAAGCTTGTCAACCGAAATTTGGCAATTATTTCTCTCTCAGGGAGCCCTCTTTGGAATTGGAATGGGACTGCTGTTTTTACCTTCCTACGGGATTATATCGCAGTGGTTTACAAGACGACGAGCTTTAGCTAATGGCATTGCCATCGCTGGAGCTGGTCTTGGAGGGTTGACGTACTCACTCGCTACCGGGGCCATTATTCGCAACATGGGCTTGGAATGGGCATACCGAATTCTTGCAATCGTATCGGCGGTGGCGAACATCACTTGTACACTGCTTATACGAACTCGATATAACGCACAAGCTACAAGACTCGCTCTCGACACGACTCTTCTACGCAGACCAGAGTATCTTCTTGTCTTGAGCTATGGCGCCTTCAGTATGCTCGGTTACTTCGTGCTCATTTTCACTCTCGCAAACTACGCAAATGTTATTGGACTCTCATCGTCACAAGCATCGATGATTCCAGCATTCTTTATGTTCGGCCAAGCCATCGGCCGTCCATGCATAGGATGGCTAAGCGATCGGTTTGGTAGAATTAATCTCACCTTCAGCATGTCATTTATCACCGGAATCCTAACTTTCGCGATATGGATCAACGCAACGTCGTTTGGCGTGCTCCTGACATTTGCACTCGTTGGGGGTTTGTCAGCTGGTGTCTTCTGGGTCAACATATCACCGGTCCTCGTCGAGGTCATGGGTCTCGAGAACCTAGCCTCGGCGTTGAGTTGTCTTTGGGTCGCTATGGCTGTCCCCTCGACGTTTAGTGCCCCTATTGCTTTGGAAATTTATACAGGAACAGGAAGCTACTTAGGTGCCCAGCTGTTTACTGGATTTATGTATATTGCTGCATCCTTTTGCGTACTTGGAATAAGGCGGTGGAAGATCAATGCCCGAGAGGTGCGAAAGAAATGTCTCCAGCACCAGGAGAAGAGGGAAGGGATTCAGAGCGAAAGGGCTGGGCTATGAGGCTCACGAAATTCGATGTCGTATGACTTTCGGATTTTACTTCGTAAGTCCTGTTCATGTAATTGCATTTGCTATGAAGTCAAAGAACACATCTAACAGCACCATCGGAGTAATGTTCTTGAATCTCACAGCTAGAAGGAGCCTGTCGTTGAACACCCTATAGTTGAAGTAATGAGTAATGCAATTAGTTCGGTACGTTCCAACATAGTTCCTCAGCCTTTTCTTCGGCTTCTTCGACAAACGTGCCGACATCCCAAAGATTCCTGGCTCATCATAAGTCTCAAGAAGTTCACTTGCCTTCTTCTCTAACCCCCTTGGTAGACTAAGGTGCCCGGAATTTGACTGGTTGGATGAACAGGTAGTGGTGCCTGTGGCCTAGTTCCTGGGCGTTGTCCTTGTGAGATTTGCGCTTGTGTACCAGAAGGGAGACTCGATCTGTCCTCGGCCTGATCACTTCCTACAGTGCCATGTATGTTCAAACTATGAGACCCGACCATACTGGAGACAGTCACAGACCTCACTGGAGCGAGAGTTGCCAGTGGTGGGCCGAGACGATTGAATTGTAATTTCACCAAGATATTCACCATTATCTTCACCCTGACCTTACTTGAACTATTGATATTTACAAGTTTATAATACTACTTAAAGCCAAGTCCCAATATCCCTTTTGAGCTTCGTCTTCAATCGAAAGCATAACTCAACTTGAAAAATTGAGTTACTGGACCTATCAATCTACTTCTTGTCGGCCAGCGGCGCGTTCAGTCCTTCACGATCTTTTTAGGAACAACTCCATATCCATTCCGTGGAGGTGGTCCAAGATATCATGTAGTTACAACAGTACCATCTGGTAGGGTCATTGTCTTCTTCCGCACGGAATAGCCCTTCGCGATGAGGAAAGCCATGATAAGTCCTGTTCCAGTCAGAATTAGTTTTGGGATGGTTTTTGCCGCCTGCTTAGCTATCCCCCCAATAGCTCTTGAACATCAGATCTACCGTCCAACTCGTGACCAAAGGATGTATTTAGAAGTCTTCGATCCTCTGATCGGCGATATTAGCTGTATAAGCTTCAACCTCCGCAGCAATTGACATGTCGATCTTTTGTTCCTCTCGGCCAAACTTGCAGGACTAGCAGTCCCCATAGTCGAGACTTCCATCGTGGACTCCTCCCCACTTGGTTGCACAAGCAGTGACGTTGGAATTGGGATCATAGAAGAACGCCTGGTTTGGGTTCCACATGTCTGTACCGAAAAACGTGTTCTCAGACAAGAAGAACTTGGTTTCAGGAGATATGCCTGTTGTCGAAAGGTCTACTGTAACAGACGTGTCTATACGGGGAGTCAGACTGTAAGATCAACGGCGTATGCTCTTTCGTACCTACTGATAACCAGTCTGTACTTGGACTCGTCCTTCTTCCTTCCGTCCCAGACCGTTTCGCCAGTGTTGCTCTCCTTTCTGAGCTGTGGCCAGATAATACAGGCAATGCCCGAATTGCGGAGTTTGTAATATCTAATTCCGATCGCGACCATTTTGCTTGCAAAGAAGAAGTAGTATGTACTGCGATGAACAGGGCAATACTTTGAAGAGTGTAGCTGTTGGGATGAATTTTGTTTTGCATGTTAGGAGGAGCAATACTAGGTCAATGCAGACTTTAAGTACTAGAATAGACACTGTTTATGATATCAGAAAAACTCACAGTGCGGCAATGTTTTCTGCGAACTCAATTGGATTGCGCGTCTGGACTACGGCATCCCCGGTATCACAGGACGCTACAGATCATCTAATCATTCGATTTATCATTACTTGCTCAGCCACTTTCAACAGCTGAAGACCCTTGAGTAGCTGAACTGCTGTGAATTGTTGATCTAGGTCGTTTATTTACAGGATTGAGCTCCATTAATACTAGGGAACTTCGGTTAACATACGATAAGGAGAAGTCGACTTGGAACTTCGGACTAGCCGACCTACATTGGCTCGCTGATAGTTTAAATAGGAATAGTGGCGAGAGGCTGAAATGCCGGGGCTTGCCCATGTGTCCAGTAATGTTACCATTTTATTTGGCGTCAATGAACTATTGACGGATATGCGGGCCAACCCTGGTCTTGGTCTAGAACGTCTTATGCATGTAGTTAACTATTCACTATCGCATTTGCAACAAATTCATCCTTCGACAGATTGCTTGGCGCTTAGGACTAAACCTGATAGGTCGAAAACGAAGACGGAACTTTATTGATTTGGTATTAGACTTTAGAGAGATGACCTATGAATGTTCAACATCCAGAGAAGTTGGGAAAGTTCTGAAAGCGACTAGCTGTTATTTAAAGTGTCTTAAGTTCGATATCGTATAACTGGCCACAAAGTACCAGCGCCTGACCCCTATCATTAATGTCACCAAACCTTTATGCCATGCCATTAAAGTCATTAAAATCGAAGAACCCATTTGCATCCATCATTGACTGATCCATCCCCAAATATCCCATATCTATATACGTCGCAACATCTGGCACACCCGAATCAACAGATTTGAACCACTCATCCGTAAACATTCCTTGATCAATAGTTTCTCGCGAAGCTTGCGGATCAGGCGCGGCAAGCAAAGAGTCAATCTGACATGCAAAGAAACGAGCAAGATCAAAGTAGAGATGTACAGATGATGATGCTGGAAGGTGTTGTACCACGCGGTCAAAGAATGGAATAACACTGATGACTTTTTCTGCAGCAGCGGCGGTTTCTTCTGCTGTGATGCCGCCTTTCTTTACAGCCTGGGTACCAGGTTAGTGATGTTCAAAAGACCCAAGGAAGGAAGAGGCTTACCCGAAGCACCTCAGTCATAGCGTGGCAGATCATAATGAACTGGTTATTCTGAAAGCCAACTGAGACGTCGTTCATTGTTTTATCTGTTACTAAATGGTCAAAGATACGCCCAGCAACTTCAATGCTCTTTCTCTGGATGATCAAAAGCGCTGATGTCGTCGCACTGTCAGAGGCGGTCAAGTCTCGCAAAGCCTGGGCGTTGAAGACAAGAATACTGTGATCCATGTAGAAAGCCAGGATAGGGAGATATTTCGAAGATGGTAGGTCATCGGATTGACAGCGTTCGTTGCGGACGCGAGTGAGGCGCTCGTAAGCTTCTTTGTGCCACTCCAGGATCGAAGCCGGTGTCGATACTATATGCCTACGTTTCTCCATTGCTTGGAGCTGTGACAGGTATCGTTAGCTGGGATCAGTCGCGTCAGTTTTCAACTTACCAATAACCCCCTAATCTCGATCACTCCACTGATGATACGATCTGTTGGTTCTGCCATAGGTGACTTCCACCAGTCTACTGCAGTACGGGGTACTGCCCTCCAGCTCATACACTGCAAACGACCATTGAGGGCCCCGAAGCCTTTATCTACGATAAAGGTGTATAGCCACGTTCTCTCATAGTTTCTGGCATACCTATCGGCTAGCTCTGGCGAAGCATTGGGAAATTCTGTGTTGACATATTCTCTCACAACGTCTGGTCTGTTAATTCCCATCTCCTTGGCCAACTGAACAGCCTGCGAAGAAGTCAGCGCATATCTGGAAAAATATGGAAATACCTACATGGCTTAGTGTCAGCCAGTATGGATCATCTGCTTGCCTTGCAGAGAGAGGAGCCCAGTATTGGTAGGCGATAATGGCTTGAATAGTTGATAGGGATTTTACCGATGCGGCGATACACCATCTAATATTGCCACTGGCTAATGATGACAGAACGGGGTATATGGCTCGGTCGCGAGGACGTGCTGAGACAGCACACCCCAGAGCGCAGATCACGGAGAATAAAGTGAATGAGCACCCATAGACATATTCGCGAGTATGTAATGTAGCGTCGAGAAGGCCGATCAAAGGATGGCGAATCTGGAAGAATCTTTGCTATTTGTGAGCATTACGGCGATCTCATACATGGGTTGTGGACTTACAGTTGGAAGTAAAGTGAAGCGTCATTGTCATCGATCAATCTTGAAGCAAGAGGATCGCAAGTGTCTCTCTCCAACTTGAATGGAGAGTCAACTGCTTGAGTCGCGAGAATCTCCCAATCTTTCTGTTGGGCTCGATGTGAAGCTGGTACGGGTTAGAGGGCAGGAAAGAAGAAATATGCTTTCACCTACCAAAATACACGGCGAGTCGTTCTTTTATTGGTGCCATTATAGCCTCACGCATACCCGGCTGCATCGGCATCTGAGACCTAAGTCTGTCACAAGCCGCAGAGGAACTCATAGAAATAGCAGCAGTGACCATGGTTATGGGTGAGACCAAACCATCTGCATCATCGCTCTCGTCATAACTGACTGATCGTCGATGAGTGACAGACCGCGACGATTGACTCGCATCGTGGCCATACTCAGGCGCTGAATCAGTGCCCTGTCCATGTGTCCACGGAGTTCCTCTTATAGACACTGTTGTATTTGGACTGGGAAGAGTTTGACCTAGAAGGGCTGTGAGGACTTCCTCGCGAGCACCGCTTTCTTCGATGCGAGCGAGGAGCTTCTCTACACTATCTGGTTTGCTGTGAAGCAGTTAGAAACGCCCCATGAGTGAGTTACGGTCTTACTTTGTGCTGCCATGCTTACGACCCCTGTTAGAACGAGCTGGATATTTACAAACGCGATCATGAGAAGCGCAGCGAGAACTAATACCGCCGTGTCAGTCTCAGGTGGACATGGTCAAGGCTAGACCGACTTACCAAGGATCCTGGCGATCGCACTTCTGCCTCGATGCACGACAGCTAAAGCATGCAACCTGATGCTGCTGCACCTTTTCAGCCGGAATCTCCATTTCGGTTATCTCTGTATCGTTAGGGGTGGACCTGGGGGGATCGTTAGTCGCCAAGAGTGAAATGCGGGAGGTTCGGGGTCTTGTAAAGTGGTCGCTGTTTTGATCTAGACCCCGGTAGTATCCACACGTGATCGTCCTGAGTAATCAGTGGACCAGAGCATTCCCCGGAAATGGATAGTATGAACCTCGAACGGCGTTTAATCATCGAAGAACTACATCGTATGATTATTTGGTAGATGGGCATTCAATCTTAATAAACTCTTAGAGGAGAAGACTACAATGTATGCTATGAATTGCTCCGAAAGAGCTCTAATATGTTTCATCCAATTTGGGCATCTATAGGGTAGGATTTCAACATCAACATCAAAATAAAGCATAGAAGTGAAATGAATACCATCTGATCAACAAGAATATTGCTTGATCTACTTTAGTGAACAGAACTACTTTATCCCATCATTTTATGCATCTAAGAGTGGGTCGGAGACACAGCACAAACGAGCCTATTATCGGGTCGCCTTATATCTCAAACAAACCCAACATAGCGAAACACAGTGGTCATGTCGCCGGTATCATACCTCCTACAACCACCTTCAGAAGTGGTTGTCTGGTGATTTTCAAGTTTCCAACGTTCCTGCAGTCCGGAATGTCCTCCATCCCTTGCATAAAAGGCTCTGGCCTGAGTCCAAAGACCAGGAATGAGCTCCCTATAGTCTATGGGGTTGCGATATTGAAAACCAGACAACAAAGAATGGTCGCAATCAGAGGGTTCAAAACGAAGGAATAGGGCGAAAACATTGTCGGTTTAGTCTGTGGTTCTCGCCATTCTAAGAACGCGGCATAGTCGTTGTTCGACATGGCGACATATCTGAGCCTATCGCCATGGCTTCTATAGATATCCTCCAGGGTCCACTCCTTCTCCTCTGCAGGACCGGCGATTGCCTCCATTTGACACAGAAGCCAGTCGTGGAACTCTTCCCACTCCATAGTGTCGGATGAGAATAGTGCTCAATCGATAAGAATAATGCTGGTGAATGCGGATACTCTGACTGGAAGAGGGTAAGACCGGGGCGAAAGGGTGCCGAACACTGACAACGAAATACAAGATAGAGGCTGGGACTTCTAGAACGATTGTGGACAGAGGGAGAGAAAGGGATAAAATCCAAGCAAATACCAGACCTAGGGGCTGCGAGAAGGAAAGAAACACAGTTGAGATTGAGGGATGAGAATGGTGTTACGCTATAACCTGAACAGTGGCAGTGACGTTACCCCTTCGGCATTGGCTAAAAGGTATGTAACTATCTCAAAGCTGCTACTAGATACGGAAGCCTATTGGGAACAGCCAATAGTTGATCAGTTGAATCATTCAATGACTTGAATCTCAGAGACTAGTGTTCAACTAGGTACACAACAGATAGTCTATTGTTCGGACTGTTTGTATCACATAATTGCCATATCTTTCGAACAGTATATGCGCAAGTCGCGGTGGATGAGACCAATCGCTCGAATTGTTCTGCCATCGTCACAAAGGTGTCTTGAATGTAGTCAAATTACTATGTTTTCTGTCACGCGTCTATTTCATTACAACAAAGAGCTTAGTTAAGTCATTCAATCAAGTTTGTTCAACGGCCAGATAGCCGCATAGGCAGATGCTTCACTCGTTTTCGTTTTGAGAAGATAACAAGCGTTATGTTAAAGCTCGTCTCCGTTGAAGACAAATAATAGCAGAAGATTAGGGTAACTACCGGCCGTAGCACAACAAGAACTCAGTGAATACTTGCGATACTGGTTTGCTTTTGAGTCTCTGGATCGAAGGAGACAAAGCCTCTTTGTCCGATTTATCGTGGGAAGTTCTAACGCTTAAAATAAAAAATACAATAATGATCAGTCGCCAATCATCTTCCCTTCAATCACAGGTATCCATGCCCGCCTCCCGGCGAACTTCCATAGCCTCCAGCTGGCGCCAATCCGCCACCATGCGTTGTCCCTGAAACACCACCATAGACTCCCCCATTAACACCTCCATTTGGCCCTCCACTGACTCCAGAATAAACACCGCCATTGACACCACCGTACAGGCCGCCGCCATGCGGTCCACCGACGCCTAACGATCCATTGCCAGAGCTGTAGCCAACTCCGTAGCCGTACTTGTCTTTGTCCCCTGATGGTCTTGGACTGCCGTCGAACTTGCTTCCTTGGAGTCTTGATGTAGCTTCTGGTGTTCTGCGCCCAAGACTTGTTGGCCGTGGAGGCGGTAGATCGTCCTTTTCGTCTTTGTCTTTTGAGAAGAGATTGAATAAGCACATTTGAAGGATTGATAGGTTGTAGGATAGATATTTGAGTCGATAAAAGCTTAGGGATAGAGTTCGAGTTGTGAAATTTTAGGTTTTTGTCGTTGAAAATTTTGAGATTAGGAACAAGATTAAGGAACCGCGTATTTAGGGGTAGAGATTGACTTTTAAAACGACAGCGAGGAATATTTAGAATTAAGGTTTCTCGTCTCCGACACGCGTTCCAGCGTTAAAAAGCGGGTTTTAGTGGCTGTGCGAGCCTACTATGGCCAATGGGACAGACCGTTTGAGCGCTTGGACGGCACCGCCACTAGTGCTGGGACCTTGGAGGCGCCTGATCTAGCACTGCCTGACAAGACCCTGCATTCAGCTCTTGCGACACGCATGACACGACAGCATTACGAGGCTGTATTCAGGCCATTTATGGGACTCACGTACATTTTTGTTCCCTTAGGGTTTTATCAATGTAATCCCCTGAACTTCTCAAAGCCTTGACTGCCAGACTTACGAGAGCGCTACCGCCGAGAACAATCCAGGATTCGCTAGAAATCAAGCTTCTTATCAGAACAACACATACACTTTTGTTTTCGCATTCAAATATCGTATTTACAGTCCTCTTGCATGCCTGCACAGGCAAACTTTCGCAGCCAGAAAGTCACTGCGACTTTCCTATATAACTCGCCCCCTGCCAGGCTTGCACCATGAAAGAACAGTGCCTCAAAGCACCTGTAGTACACGCTTCATCTCATCACTAGAAAGTTTTCCAGCATACTCGCGAGCACTGCCAAACTGTCCCTTCATATCTGGATCTGCGCCTTGACTCAACAGCCATTTCACCCTTTCAATAGCCCCCGCCATGACGGCATTGACAATTGGATACTGCGCCGTCATATGGCGCGAGTTCAACTTGTCGTTCACCTGTGCACCGTTTTTCACTAGCAATTCCATGACAGGAATCCTCGCCTCATCAAATTCTTTGCTTGGTGTCACAACTCCGGCGTGAGGATTTGACCCCGGCGGATAGGCGCCCGCCGCATAATACAATGGTGCTCCGTTGTCAATTTTAGCACCAGTGTTGAGGAGCTTCTGCACCATTTCAGCGGTGCCCATCCCTGCTGCAATCTCGAGTGCCTCGCAAGAATTCGTTTCAGGTTCGCCGAAACGGTCTCGATTGTCCTGTTGTTTGCCAAGATTTGGATCTGCGCCATTCTCAAGAAACCAATCAAGAAGACCATCGTTGCCCGCGCGGATAACGGAGGGTAGTAGGACAGCTCCGTAAAAACCAGGCGTGTTTACAGTCCAGCCGTGCTGCAGGAGCAGTTCGAATAAGAGCTTTTGCTGGTCTATTGGAGCGGCCAAAGCCCACGATGGAGTTATTCTGGTGATCGGTGCTCCAGAGTCAAGTAAGTAGCGCGTAACATCAACCTTGCCGCTACCCAAAGCGTTGAAAAGACCTTCATGAAGGAAGGCTGGCGTGCGAGATTGAGAGGTAACGATGGACTCGACAGTAGACGTATCACCGTCTCGACAGGCCTTGCCGAATTGGATAAAATCGGGCTGTGAGGCAGCAAAGCCGTTGAAAAGCATGAGATCGCTAGGCTCAGTGATGGGAATATCATCGTAGGAGGCGCCCATGCGATTGCCCGCGCGTCGCTGTTCTGGTGTCATTCGCTGTAGCTCGTCGAATTGACGCTTGACCTGGGCGAGTACAATTTGTACTACTGTAGGCGGCATGTTTTGCTGCTGCTGTCGCATCGTAGCCTGTCGCCCACTCCATGCGAGGGCCTCTTGAGTTTGCCCTGACGACATTGTTTTCGTGGTTTTATTCTTGGTCGCTCAACTTCAGTGATGACAGTTCCAACCTCACGTTGCGCGTAAGGCTGAGAATCTGCTGGTTTTGTGCTGATCTTAGCTGACGTAATGCTCAACTTGAAACATCGATCCTTACTCCTAGTACTAAGGTACCCAGTGGAAGAGAAGGATTCTTGAGTCCTTTCCTTGAGTGGTCAAAAAGCCTTAGAAACGTCCTTAGTTCTATTTAATTCTCGATAGTATACCTACCGTATATCATATAAATCATTATCTAGTAATGTCGCTTGCCAAATGTGTTTGTCCCTGAATATTGAGCCCAGAATACTGTGACGACCTAGATCTGTGACATCACTCAGGAAAGCCTATCAAAAAAATTAAAAAAATAAACCGGGAAATCATAATAACCCTCAAAATTGCACAATGAACGAGGCTAATCCGGCCATAAATAAGGCACCGAATATACGGACAGCACTTGATCCCGCCCCATTAGTTTCCTTCGGTGCCGCAGTGTCAGTTGAAGCGCTAGTAGCCGTGGCCTCTGCACTTGTAGCCTTAGTCTCACTTCCAGTGGCTTGAGCAGCACTAGAATCCTCTGTTGTCGTGGCCTGAGATGCTCTTTCAAACAGTTCCTGGCCCTTGGTGATGACGATTGGCAGCGTACCAAACTTGAGCTCAAACTCTTTCGTGATACTCCCAAAACCAGTTGCAATATCTGTAATCCCGTCTTCCCCGGTTTCCTTTGGCAACGCCATGGTCGTACAAATCTGAGGCGTCCCACTGCTCACAAGGCACTCAACAGAGCTGGCGCCGCCCAGGTCGTTCAAAGCCAACATCCAATGGAAGATGCCCGTTAAAGCCGCGCCAGCTGGGACAGTCTTACTTGCCCATGGCCCAATGACAATGGAGTTATTGTACCCGGATGATTCGCATGCTGCGGAGACTTCGTCGGGGCAGTATAATTGGATCGTTGTTGCTGTTGGATTGGCGGCGATGACTACGGCTGAGGGCGTTTGTTCTTTGTAGAGAGCCAAGGGAAGTATGAAAACCGGTGTGGTGAGTGCTGGCGACATTCTAGTTATAATGAACGACGATGGTGGGATGTTGGCGATGAACAGTCTTGAGTGGGATGGTCAGGCTTTAAGAGAAACAACGGGGCGCATGGATCTCGGCGAATTCTGAAAATGGAATGTCAACTGATGATTCTGGTTGGTCAACTCATGGTGCGATGAATAAGAGCCTGCTAGGGCTGAGTTTGGCTGGTAATTTCGGGTTCAAGGTTAAAGCCGGCTAATGTGATGGCTCGCGATCAAGCGGAATTCCGCTCTGATACATACTCTTCATGTAATTACCTTGTAACATACCAGACTCCTACTGTGATCCAAGATGGCAACAAATTCTGAGCGATGGCATCTGACTAGTTCATGATAAGAGAAGCAATCAAAGCCATGGCCACAACGCCCGCAACACAAACAGCATTCGATCCAGCCACATTCGTTTCCTCCGGTGACGATGTATCAGTTGAAGTTGCTGTAGCTTTCCCAAGTAGCTCCTGACCAGCAGTGATTACAATTGACATGTACGTAAATCGCGTTGCCAACGTCTTGTCTGGATACATATTCGCCGCGGTTTCAGTGACTGGGCCTCCGTAAATATCTTCATCCATCCTAGTCCTGGGTTGCATCTCTGTGACTAAGCTCGTGCATGTCTGAGGCATGCCGCTACTCATAAGACACTCCACAGACAGAGCTGTCCCCCAGTAGCTATTAGCAAGATAAAAGTGAAATGTGCCTGTCGATGCTGAGCCTTCTGGAACGACAGTACTAGCCCATGGTCCGACGACAAAGGTGTTGCTGTATACAAATGGACAATCGGATTGGACGGGACATCCCAATTCGATGGTCGTCGCTGTAGGATTAACGCTTATAACCGAACCCGTTGGAGTGTGTATCATGTACTCTTCGGCGTCGTAAATGAACAAGGTCGGAGTGACTGGTGGGAAGGTTTCAGTCGCGGCTTTCCGTCGTGGGGCAGAGACCTCACTGGCGTCCTCTGTAGGTGTAGCTTGAACATCAGTCCCCAGCTGCTCCAGGCCCGAGGTGAGGACGATTGGCAACTGAACGGTATCCAGCATGCCCTCCGTCTCAGTCACAGTCCAGCTATGGCTCGTCCACTCCCTCTCTGTATGCGATCTCGCAATGCCTAGTGTTACTTGAAGGCCAGTACAAGTCTTACGTATGCCAGAGCTCATGAGACACTCATACGACAATTCCTCACTCTCCGACCCCCAATGCCATCGAAACGTTCCAGTGGAAGGTAGACCTTCTGGAACGACTGTACTGGCCCATGGCCCGACCACGAAGGTGTTGGTATAGTTCTGGCCACAGTGGATCTTCTCGTGGTTTCTTGGGCACCGAAGGCCGAATGTTGTTGCGGTGGGATTCGCGTTTATGACTGAACCGGTCGGTCTCACCATAGTGTAAATTGCCACGGAAATGATATTGACGGTTGCCGTAAGTGCGGATGACATTTTGAAAAGAGATGCGGATGAAGCAGAAGTAGCCTTAGACACGGCTGAGCTGGTGCTGGGCAGCAGAAATATTCAGCTAAACCTCTAACTTATATAGAAATAGAAAAGCATGAAGCGGTCGGTGATCTCCAAGAATGGAAGCTCGAATATCATGATGTCCATTGGTTCATCCATCGCCAAGCAGAAAAAGCCACTGCCAAGATTGTGATGTATTGATGGTTAAAACCGGATAATCGTCCGAATAGAGGCAAGTTTGGTCTCTTTCGGGCACGTTGGCTCCCTCCCGATATTTGGGAATTCACATGTAAGTAAAACTGAGGAATTCCGAAAATTAAAGGCCTGAGTTCAATAAGTCTATTTGTTCAAGGCAATGCGTCAAGTCCTCTGTTGTACATATGGTGCCATTGATCAACAACTGAACCAAACTTCGCGACAGCTCTTTAGGAACATCTAGCACTCACCAATTACAAAAGTTCTACTGCCTTATCATATCTTTCACAAGCGACAGAAACTTTCTTCCCAGTATATTCGGATGGAGAGTCCATTTTCCAATAACTAGGAATCGTTATGCATGCTATCGATAGTCTCTGCCCTCTGTGTTACTATACCGGCTCGGCGACGGCACACAGTAATTCTAAGCTATAAAGTACATTTCCTCTCCAGTAAGCTCCCACTTGTGCCAATAACCTATTCAGTGGCCTAATACTGACAGTGTCTCCCCAGTGAGTAGGAATCATACCGCTTTCGAACAAATTGATATCTCTATGTTCTGATGTTGGGGTAAGGCTACAAGCTCTCAACCATGAGTCTCAACTGTAAACAATAAATCATAGTTATATCTTAAACATTACATCAGAACACCTGGAAAATTGATATAGAATGTATCTGATATCATGAAAGCCTGACAGATGATTGAGCTGGTAGCTCAAATTCGAATTCGGCCAGTTCTCAGATCGTTTCAAGCCGAACTTACAGCTATCTCATATGGGAAAACGAGACTACCCACGTTTATTTTTCTAATTGCTGAGACTCCATGAGAGGGAAGCATGCTTTTTTCGTAGTAATTCGACTGGAATTGCTCCCGTACTAAGTTAATCGGCACCCGCGTTATACTCGCATTGTCAAGCCGCCTCTCTGGAGCTACCATAGCAAATTCTCAGCAGCAGCAACCGTCCAGCCACAAAGAAGGAATTTCATTGAAATGGAGATTTTGAAATGAACGCGATGCTTGCATTTAAGTCATTCCATGTCGTAGGATATAGATATACTCAAGAACAGCCAATCTCAAACTTGACTGCAACATCGTGCACTGTGAAGATAAGCCCGCAGCGCTTCTTATCATCCAATCAGCGGCCTTGTTCTTATCGCGAACATTCAACCATTTAATACCCTGTTACCCCAGACTTTGAGCCTCTAAACCAATTGCTCGCTTCAATCGACAGATACCAATACTCATGTGATCACAGAAGCACATGACAGGGAAACGATCACGAAAAGGCTGTGGTGAGTGTAGAAAACGAAGGCGTAAGTGTGACGAAGTGAAGCCGAGCTGCGGCCAATGCGTCTCGAATCAGCGGAGCTGCAAATATGAGTTGAGGCTTGTCTGGAGCCAGGCTGTACATAACAGACGAAATGGTATGCGTATCCCGGAATGAAGGCAATATCACTCATTGACCCCATTGAATAGGCTCAAGTGGTTCAATAAATTTCAGCGGCAACCTAGAACTCGGCACAGAACAGGATATCTCCGTATCATCAATACCAGAGTCCCTACCAAATGGCTTGGCACTCCCAAGGCGATACAAGAAGCTGCTGCATCATTTTGCTGAAGGTGTTCTGGCATCGTTGTCGAGTCACCCAACCATTCACGATGACTTTCGTCGGGGCCTTATGCCCACCATGCTCGAATCTCCTCATCTCCTCTCTGCCAGTCTGGCACTGTCAACCGCAAGCTTTGAGTCAAGGGGCATAATAGAAGTCGAAGGAACGAGCACATCTCGAATAATGGAACACCTGCAATCTTCGGGCCTACCTTTGCTGAGATCAGCACTGGCACAAGGGCAGCAGAGCGAGATCCTTATTGCGACATGTCTGGTCTGGTGCCTAGCGGACGTGTTTTCGGGCCAGCAGGGAATGTTCAGGTGGCCTATCCATTTGCAGGGGATAAAGGCTCTACTTCACGGTCGTCGTGATTATCAGAGATTCGTGGCTGGGGACAACGCCTTGAGATCTGCGATGAAGCATCTCTTCATGCTTTATCGGAGTCTGGAGACTCTACCGCACGTACCTAAAATAACATCAGAGAAGGCCAACTTGATTGTTCCCACGAATACCGCATACAATCATCAGATTGATGGCTTTTTGGGATATAGCGAAGAGCTGCTCGACATATTACAACAAATCAATGCATATACACCAGGATCATGGCCAGAAGTCTCTGCTATTGATGCAGATACCTTACTCGGCAAGCTGAACGCTATGATCAGGAGGGATGTCAAGTCACCGCCAGGCGTCTCAATCTCTTCGCTTTCATCACAATCAGGTCGCGACTTTGCGCTCTGTAACAAAGTCTTCCAACAAGCGACCCTAATCCAGCTTTATCGACAGTTATATGGCTTGCCTTCGTCATCACAACCTATACAGGATGCTGTTCACACTATGAGCGGAATGATAAGCAACATGGCCCAAGGCGAGCCATGCAACACATGGGTCGCGATGGCGATGCCTCTGTTTACAGTAGGTTGTGAGGCTTACAAGGAGGAGCAGAAGACCTTCATTCTTGACAAAATCCACAAACTTGAGATTTGTATCGGCTCGTTGCATGTCAAGGTGATTGAGCAGGCTCTCAAAGATGTTTGGAAAATCAGAGAGGATTGCAACGATTTCGAGGGGAATCTGTGTGCCAGTCACTTACTGGGTAAGTTACTCCCTTAAACCCTCTATCAAGCACAAGGCTGACCGCACCTTAACGAACAGAAAACTTGTCATATAATATTGTTTTATTTTGAGGAGCCCCGACTATAAACCGCAAGCTCAAGCCGAACGTATTAAGCGCACCCTATCTGTGTCCAATTTGTATGCCACACTGTATCGAATGTCTTGGTGGAGATATGGAGATATTTAGTCCATTGTTGCCGAGAGCGACCTTAACTATCGTCATTTTACAACTCATCTTCCTTCTTTCCCTCAACCATTCGGCTGAGAGGTCCCTTCTTGACCATGATAGACATAACCTCGTAGAGAACGTCAGCTGCTGCCATGGTAGTGTGCTCAGCATTAGTGTCGTAGGCAGGCTATACCTCTTCGTTAGTCTTGATCATTATTACCTAGACTCCTGGAGTAGAACTTACGGCAACCTCAACAATGTCTGCAGCAATGAGGTTCAAGCTTTCCAAGCCTCGGACAATGGTTCGAAGCTCTCGGGTAGACCAGCCTCCGGTCTCGGGAGTACCAGTTGCAGGTGCGAAAGCAGGGTCAAGCGTATCGATATCGATGGATAGATAAACAGGGCGATCTGTACCGACGCGCTTGAGAATCTTCTCAATGATACCGCCAGTGCCAATGGTGTCGATCTCACGAGCCTCCACGATCTCGAAGCCACAGTATCCATCGTTATCGTAATCGCTTGGGCCACTCAGGGTAGTTCTGATACCAGCATGGATGTTGGTATCGTTGCGGAGCAGGCCCTCCATAGCAGCGTGGTAGAAGTATGTGCCGTGGTTGATGGCAGCAACCTCTGAAGGGGAGCCACCAAAGACCTTGGGCTTCCCTATCTCTCAGTTAGCATGGGTAAGAAGGAAATGAGTTAACTATGACATACAAGTGTCAAGATGACTGTCGAAGTGAATCACTGTCACGGGTCCATAGGCACGGTTGATGGATCGAAGGAGGGGTAGAGTGATAGTATGGTCACCTCCAAGGGTGATGACTCTAGGAAGAGTTCGGCTCTTGAGGGCTGGACCAGACTTGTCTGCATCTGTGGCCGGCGGGCGAGAGAGGATGTTGTAGTGACCCTCCTCGATCTGTCGAAGGGCCCACTGGTTATCGTACCTTCAGGCCGTCAGTACAACGATACATGAGATGAGAGACTACTTACGAGGTGACTGGGATATCACCACAGTCGAGCACTGTTGCCCAGCTGTTAAAAGGGTTGGTAGCCAGAGGTACATTGTAACCTCCACTACAGAATGAGTTAGTCTTAATGTCGGAAAGGCAATGCGAAGGCTGGCTTACTAAAGGTTGAGTCTTCGAGAGCCTTGTCGGATACCAGAAGGTCCAAAGCGAGCACCAGGTCTGTAAGAAGTACCTGTATCAAAGGGAGCACCGATGAAAGCAATGTCATACTTGATGCTATTTGCCTTCAAGCATGGCTGGTATGGAAGACGCCCGAAGGTGCTGATACCGGAGAAGACGGAGTCGGCCTAGACTTGGTGAGTCTGATTTGCCACAATCGGAGTTGGAACACTTACCTGAGTGCCGCCATCGCCGGGAAGGGTGTTGTACCAGAGACCTTGGTGAGGGCCTGACATGGGCTCTTGGTCATGGCTATGGTCACCATGGGCGAGAGCCACGGAGGCAAGGCTTAGAGAGACGAGGGGCTTGTACAACATTCTGAGAGAGATTTTGAAGAGCAATGTTAAGAGTGCTGTATAGTGTGAATGGTAGAGTCATAGCAAGTATTTATGCCATGTCATAGCTCGGCTTCCGGAGACACTCAAATCAGGATCACAGTTACATTCATGCTAACCACTGGTCCGTCATTGCATCAACGTAATTCCATCTCCCAACTAATTCCTCTTTCTCCAAAGTGATATCATCACAAACACTTCCTGCAAGAATCATCATCACTTACAACCTCAAAATCAACGGGCGTCCAAGAAGCGCGTAGATATCTCAAATAGGCTAGTCTGGGGTAAATTCCTCGATGCAGCTAGAATTAGATCGGCACCCCGCAACCTCCGCATTCTTATCGTGGCTAAGTTGCCGGATCGAGTAAACCTATGATATGTGCTGATAAGCTTCTTGTGCGACGATGAATTCTCGTTGATATTGTTCAAGGCGATATTGTGTTACGTTTGGCGGAAGTTGATCATCGTGAGGTTGCAAATCCCGCAGACTAACAAAAATGGCGCGTTGCAGGTGAATATGCCGACATCCCACCATGACTGCATGCTTATCAGCAGTTCTGTGTTGGCAAAAGTTTTTACCAAACTGTAATAGTGCCTCTTACCAGCTTTTCGTTGTGGAGGATGGTGATCGGATTCAAGTAATTGGAAGATCCTGTTAGAGTTCCCTGAGCTTTGCTGGCTTTGCTGAAGTCCTGAAGCCTTCTCTTTCATCACTGTCACCATCACCATCCCAAGGGAGTAGCTGAAACCGAAACGGCAAGCAAAATGGCTCCTCAACCTCAAACTCGCCGCCCTCACTTTGAGTCCTTCCCCGACGAAGAAACCCCTCTAATTCAACCCATCCAAGACTCTTCGATCGAACCAAAGAGTCGCTCACCATGGCTAGACGAAACTGTCATACTCGTCAAAGCCTCTGTACCAGTCATACTGGCCTACATGCTCCAGAACAGTCTTCAAACAGTCTCCATCCTCATGGTTGGCCGTCTTTCGCCCGAATCTCTTGCGACCGCTGCGTTCTCCTACATGTTTGCCATGGCAACAGCCTGGCTCATTGCTCTCGGCGGTACAACTGCCCTCGATACGCTCGGCTCGAGTACCTATACAAGCTCGAAGAATAAACACGACCTGGGAATACTGTTGCAGAGGGGCTTATTTGTCTTGACTGGCTTTTATGCCGTGGTAGCTGTTATCTGGTGCTTCTCTGGATATATCTTCCGGGCTCTTGGACAAGAAGACTTTATCTGTGTTCAGGGACCCAAGTTTCTGCAGTTGTTGATTCCTGGTGGCCTCGGTTACGTATGGTTTGAGGCGATGAAGAAGTTTCTTCAAGCTCAAGGGATCTACCGGCCAGGTACCTATGCACTGCTCGTCACTTCTCCTCTCAATGCTCTGCTCAACTACGTTTTCATCTACCCTCTTGGTTTCGGTCTATATGGATCGCCCATCGCAACTGGCATCTCTTACTGGCTTTCTTTCTTCATCTTGGTTGGCTATGCCACCTTCGTGAAGGGAGGCGAATGCTGGGGCGGACTTGAGCCGCGTCGAGCTCTTCAGCATCTTGGCCCCTTTGCAAAGCTTGCTTTTCTCGGTGTCATTCACGTTGGTACAGAGTGGTGGGCTTTTGAGATTGTTGCTCTTGCAGCCGGCCGTCTCGGAACGATCCCTCTTGCCGCTCAGTCTGTTGTTATGACCTTGGACCAAATCATCAACACCATTCCCTTTGGGCTGGGAGTTGCTGCATCTTCTAGATTGGGCAATCTCTTGGGTTTGGGGGACCCTCTACAGGCAAGACGCTGTGCACATGCCGCAGCACTACTATCTGTGTTCTTTGGAACCGTTATCCTCGCGATCCTCATGTCTACAAAGAATGTTATCGGTCGCTTGTTCAACGATGACGAGGACGTCATTTCACTTGTCGCTCACATCATGCCTTACGTAGCACTCTTCCAGATCGCCGATGGTCTCAATGGAAGCTGTGGAGGAGCGTTACGAGGCATGGGGCGACAATGGGTTGGGGCACTTGTCAATTGTATTAGCTACTACGGAGGTGCGCTACCAGCTGGAATATGGCTTGCTTTCCATGGCTGGGGTCTTTCTGGACTTTGGGTTGGACAATGTGTTGCACTGTTTCTGGTTGGTATTCTGGAGTGGATTATAATTGCTTTATGTGACTGGCGAAAAGAGATTCAGAGGGCTGCAGAGAGAATTGAGAATGGAGGTATGGAGATTGTACACTAAGAGAGACTGCCAGGTAAAAAATATTAGATCAGTAAACATCACTTTAGAATCATGCAAATCTTTTCACTGACACCTCCAAAGTTCTATCCATTCCTTCATTCATCTGGGGACTTCCTTGTATGCCAATGCGGCACATATCGTCCGTTCAACCCAAGTTCTCCGCATGAATAATGTCGTAGCAAGGTCGTAAGATTCTGGACCGATGTAACGGTTCTGCGCCGAGATAAGACGGAAATCTGGAACCCCCAATTGATAAGGCGAGCTGGGGTAACAATTAGTCTCGCATTATAGCAAATCCCTCTGCTCTGATAAGGAAAACGTGGTATCGGCATCCGTCTGCTGCATGATAAACATGGTGCTAGCCAAAATAGGGTCGCACAGGCACTGAAGCCATTGAAGCCTATCTCCGTGCTACTTATCTTTGCCTCATATGGCCATGCATATATAGATATAAGTGCATGCGTCTCAATTGAAAATCGTGGTTTACAGCAGGAATTGTAGCATGTGATTGTCTGTAATTGTTTCCAAGCCTGCCTTCTTGTACCCTTTTTTATCACAGCTCTCAATCAGTCGGCTGACTTGTCAAACTCGCAATGGAGGTTGAGAAGGTCAATGGTGGTATCCTTGAGAAAGGAGACATCACTGAAGGAGAAACAACCGAACAAGGCTCTGTTATCAATGCCTCCGGCCACACAGATCAGCTTACTCGCCAGTATGGTCTTGTTGGACTCACAGGCATTGCAGTGACAGTCAACAATGCCTGGGTTGTCCTTGGTTCCTCAATCTCTGTCTCTATTCTCAGTGGTGGCATTTCAGGTGTTATCTATGGTCTCATAGTAGCAGTGATCTACTACACTTTCATCGGCTTGAGTATATCAGAGGTATGCATAACCTAACCCGAACCCAACTTGGCCCATCTGACATCTTCAAAGTTTGCTTCATCATGTCCTAGCTCCGGTGGCGTCTATCATTGGGCCACCATAGCTGCTGGGCCAAAATGGGGTCGTGTCACCGGTTTCTACACAGGTTGGATCAACTTCTACGGCTGGATGTTCGGTCTGGCATCTCTTGTCCAAGTCGCCGCCAACGCAGGAGTTCAATGCTATGCCACTCTCACACCCGGCTTTTCTCCCTCGGCATGGCATGTCTATGTCGCGTACCTGATCGTCATCTGGCTCAGTGCCTTCGTCGTCATTTTTTCGAACCGACTTGTTCCCTACACCCAGAAACTTGGCCTGTTCCTCGTTGTTGCCGGTGGTCTTGTGACTATCATTATCGTCGCCGTTATGCCCTCGAAGCATGCTTCTAGCGATTTTGTCTGGAACTCGTTCCATGAGAACAACCTGACCGGTTGGAATGACGGTGTCGCTTTTATGGTTGGCATTCTTAACGGCGCTTTCACGATTGGAACTCTTGATGCTATCACTCATATGGCTGAAGAGGCCAAGAACCCAAAGAAAGACCTGCCTAGAGCCATCTTTTTATACATCTCCATTGGCGGTGTCTATGCTTTAGCTTTCGCTGTGGTCTTGGGATACGCCATTTCTGATCTATCTGTTCTCCAAGGCAACTCCAACACATTTCCGTTGGCTGGTATCTACCATCAAGCGACTGGGAGTGCTGCAGCCACATTCGCATTGCTGTTCATTATTCTCATCTCGTCTCTTTGCTGCGTCATGGGAACAGTGCTGACCAACTGCCGTACCTACTGGTCCTTGGCTCGAGACCAAGCTGTGCCGTTCTCAAATTATTTCAGCAGAGTGAGTGCGAAGCTTGGTACCCCAGTCGAGTCAACGCTGTTCGTGGCAGTCATTGCCTCGGGTATCGGGGCAATCCCGCTGGGAAGTTCGGTCGGTTTCAGTAACTTGACCGGATCCTTCATCATCATCACAACTGTGTCTTACGCTATCCCAATTGTATCAAATGTCCTGAGTGGCCGCAAACGATTCTCGCCCGGTCCCTTCCACCTGAAGAACATGGGGTACTGGATCAATGGACTTACTATACTATTGATTGTGGTATTTGACGTGTTCTTTTGTTTCCGTAAGTATTCCTTAACCTGTGTGTTCTCTAAGATTTCACTGACAGTTGGTAGCCTTCGGCATGCCATTTGATGCAACAACGATGAACTACAACTCCGTCATTCTGTGCGGTCTATGTTTCTTGATTACGGTTTGGTGGTTCCTGTCAGCCTCGAAGCATTACCCAGGGCCTACATTTCATCAGGTCTATGACGGGGATGAAAACAAAGAGGCGGCATCATAGGAACGCGCAGATTACACTTCAGTTCTCCTATAATACATACATAAACTGTCAATATAATTACTGATTCCCTCTTCCCATTTCCGGAATCCATGTCCACCGAGTTTCGTCCCAGTCGGAAGGACTTCGCTGCCACGCAAGCCCCCGTGTCCCTCCCCCTTCACCTCCTCCTATGGGTTCCAGCCACTTGTCAATGGCCTCGGATGCTGTCTACATATCGAAAGAACCAGTCGATCCATGGTCTTGATAGATCTGGCTCACGTACTGGACCTCCAGATCAGTTCCCCATTCTTCTATTTGGTCAGTCACATCTTGCTCCTTGACTTCTCCCCCATGCTCCGGCACATTTTCTGCCTCGATTGTAATCCTGCTTTTTCCGGGAGTGAGTTTCAGTGATTGGTACTGTTCCTTGAGGCTGCTGAAGAAGTCTTCAACTGGAACGGCATCAAGCATATCACCAGCATGGAAGTCTTCAAAGATCTCACAGTCTTTGGCATTAAGCCAAAGCTCACGACTGAAGCTCTCATGGCCCACTGCGATACAGACAACATCGCTGGGGTCCGTCTGCTCTCCCTCTGATGACCAAAATTCCCAGTCTTGATGGTAGTTCTTGTGCTTCTCAAAATCGTCAAGATTGAAGGCAGTAAGATCAAGAAGTTTAGACTTGTAGTGGACATATTCGATACATGTGCTGTCAAAGTAGGTAAGGTGGCGGATGACTTGGATAGCATAGTCAGATTTGAAGTGTGCACAGGACACTGGAGTGAGCTCTGGCTATCCAGTTGGTGGAAGTGTCTTGAGGTAAGACTTGTCGTAATGCAAAGTTGTGAGGAACGTGTAAAAATCAATAAACAAAGTCCTGGGTTCATCGGGTGTCAATCGTGGCTCTTGTGGTTCATTAGAGACATCTGAGCCCTCGTATGAGTCATCATCTGACGCAGAAGGCGTTGGAGGATTTTCTGATTCAGCCATGGCGTTTGAAGTGATTGTTGTTGATAGAGTGACAGCTGGAGGGACGAAGTGCTTTATAGGAGAATCCAGGTCCAACTCTTCACAAGTGATGCTTTCGGGGATTTCTGCAATCATTCTGGCTACTCCACAGTAATAGGAAAAGCCTCAAGAGACAGCGAACAACATCTTGACGATGGCGTAATTCTCCACCGTGTTGGTAACCCCATCTTCATAGACAAAGGGTCGTTGAAGTTGGTCCCCAATTGTCTGATTGGGAAGGACCTCAAAGCTTCGAAGCTCCAACCGAGAGACTGATGACTTGAGATTGGATCTTCTTGTAATTAATCGCAGCTATAACCTTGACACTACTGTGCAAGAGCTGAAGGTCTGCGGTAGCGATACATGCACAGTGAAACTTCCTCTTATTTGGCTGTTAGTCAAGGGTCCAGGATACTGGGAATTACAAAGACAGCATTCTCGATTACCGTAGCGATTCTTGTCGCGCTACAACGTCCTTCTTTGATAGAATTTGGTGCTCATGATGGTAGTTGTTTTCAACCCATGAACCAGTCACAGTCCAGCACGTGTGTCATCATGCATAAGGCGGAGTCGTTGAGGCTCAGCACCCAGCACCTGTTAGATGAGGCAGACTCAGCTTTGCTACCTACCCCAGAAAGTTCTCCATCTCACCTCACCCGTAACTGCACATCCTTTCATCTTCATCAAAATGGCAGAAATTCTCGGTCTGGCTTCCAGTATCATCACAATAGTGGAGGTGGCTGGAAAGCTCGGCACCAACACCATTCGACTCAAGCGATTATGGGACGAAGTACAGGATGTCCCAGCTAGTATTCAGAGATGTATCGAGCAATTGGAGATCTTGGCCCCCGCCATCGAGGAAATGGACCACGAGTTTGAAAAGACCCGGAATATGATACAGAACGACTCGGCTGCCAAGCGAAGCCTTGAATATTCACGGAAAGCGGTAGAGACTCTCGACACGTTGGTCAGAGACATGGAGACACAGATCAGCGCGGCAAAGGCCAGTAGGAGACTGGTAGCTCAGCTCAAAGTCAGGATCAAAAGAGACGTGATTGAAGATCACCAGCATCGACTCACATCAGCCCTTCAATTGCTGTCTCTTTCCCAACAAACCTATTTGATGTAAGTCATGACCCATTGCCGAGTTGCTAGATATAAGAACTTATTGGCGTTCACAGTGCTTTATCGCGCGCCCAACCCGAAATCATCATTTCTGAAATAAGAAATTGGCGGGACTCAGAATATCAGAAGCGAATTTCTTTAGCCATTGAAGAAGACGACCAGTCTATAGAAGGTGAACGACCTGGAGAGCCACAAGTCGCAGAATCTCAAGACTATGTCAAGTCTTCTGTATCTAGTGATTTCGATTTGTGGTCCGCCAAAAGGCGATTGCCACAATTACGACCCAGTCTACTAGGCAGCTTCGCTTTCCACTCTTACGAGGTTGCCGAAAGCTCTTCAATCCACTATGTGCCAGACAAGGCACGATGTTAGTTCTTATCCCGCGTAAGTGCTACTAAAACAGCTAATGTTACGTCTAGTCTTTCAAACAAGGATTCATATGCCGTGGTTCATAAAAAGATCCTGGGACTTGTCAGTCCTTCGGGCGTCAACCGGGTGGACTTTTCAACTGAACACTAGAAACATTCGTCCCTGGAATGCTAAAATATTTGCGGCCCTCCTATGTGGGGAAGTTGAACATACTATTGAACTTCTCAAGAACAAAGAGGCATCAATATATGACGTTAGTCCTAATGGACGCTCATTGCTTCATGTGAGTAGCCACACCTTTCGATCTGACGCAGCTAACTTTTTAGGTTGCGACTTTGAGCGAACATATCGAATCCATCAAGGCTCTCCTCCTCATGGGAATGAAAGTTTCTGACATTGAGCCATCGGATCTATTTAGCTTTATATACTCCTGCTTCTGGGAAGATCCTCAAGCAAAGAGCCCAGTGGAGCTTGGCCGTCAATGGTTAAAAGAAATAGGGGGTATATCAACCGAGCATCTGAACAATCAGTACTTCTCTCGTACCTTCTGGGGAGTACCAAGCGTGTACACTCTTTTGTCGGAGACAGGATCTGTTCGTCAAATGTTGCCCTCATTTTCCTGGACCTGTGTCAACCCAGCGGTTCCTTTGGAACTGTTGAAGAGCGGTCTCGCTGTAGCCGCTGACTTCCCCCGGTGCATCTGTTCATCAGGTCCGGATGGTATTTGCCGCTGCTATACTTCGAGTCTCATGTTCCAGTATTTCCATGCACTCTTGAACAACGACAAGAGCTTCCCTGACTGGAGGCGCTTAGCAAGAAAGGCACTACTGGGAGTTTCGCCCTTGGATATCGTTCATCCCCATGAGGGAGCCTTCTGTAGTCTTACTAGTATCCTAAAAGCACTATGGAAGCGGCAGTTCCGACTCTTCCCTTTTGCAAGGTGGATACAAAACGCTGTTACTCTATGGCTCGAAGATGTTGCAGCGGCCGGCATCAACCTCGAAGAGTATATGAATCTAGAATTATTATACGGCCTGAACTTCCAAAAGAATGCCGTGTGTAAGGACATGAAAATGAAGATTCGACCAGGGGCACGTTTACCGGAGTCCGGGCCTTCACTGGTAATTCTGTCAGTTGGACCATGTGCTGGTGATTGGTCTTTCTCCTGGGATCCCTGTGTGGAAGAGCTATCTGGCGACTTCTGGACAGCGATTGAAGATATTCCAATAAAGGTGCCTGGAGCTTGGGTAGATGAGCGACCTGAAGACTTTGAGTCTCTTGTGGGAGGCCACCGATTATGTTGGCTCTGGCGGTACGCTACATATACGTTCAAGATGGCGATTGGAGACATTCAGAAGAAAAAACATCAGCAACAGATGCGATCGCGAGGGCCAGAGTGGACAGAGCGGAAAGATCGCGAGAGTTTACAAATACGAGGAATGATGACGTGCGGGGAGTTTCCACCTCATTAACCAGGTTATTGGGATTAACTGGTTGTTAAGAAACATCCCGGATCGCTGTTAGTAACATGTTGACGAACAGAGTTGGAAGTTGTAGCCATACTGGATTCTCAAATGACACGTTGACGCTGATTGATCCTAGTTAAATGCCTGGGTAGTCCAAGACTCTGTAACTCGCACGATACTTCTCATCCCTTGAGTTTCAACACACAGTGGTCAATGTTTCTTACTACCTCTGCTGCCCTGATAAAAAAAAACTTTATAGGTCTGTCAAGAGACCAGTTGCTTTTCCAACCACTTTAGGCTTTAGAATGCACCCCATTTTTTGACAGGTTAGGGAGGCTTGGTACCTGACAGCGCTATCACCAGTGAGTCGGTAGTCGCAGCCGCTTGACTATTCCTAGCGTTCAAAATCAATAGTTTGTCAACACTACACTAAAATGAGTTAAGCCAAGCTTCAAGATGCAGATTGCAATTTCCCATCTTATGTCTCTTATCTGCTGGGGAACTCGCAAAAGAAACTTGTCTCTCCTTCTTTTCAATAGTTTATCCTCTGTGGCTTTTTTGTGTCTCAAAATGATCCCACTTCGAACAATCGCATTGTCATGTTTGGCCCTTGCCCCTGTGGCTGTCTCGGCTGGCGCATGCAAGCCCAGATCCACCGATCTTACAACGGTCGCCTCGTCCGCTCTGGAGACCGCGTCTACCTCCGAAGCCCTACAGTCGACCACGGATGGTCTCACAACCGCGATCGCTTCGACAATTGAGACGACAACAGAGGCATCTACCATCGAAACAACCTCCGAAGCCGCTACCACTACTTCCAGCGCCCCATGCCCAAGCTACACCCAAATCGTCCCGCCTCCCAGCGGTAAAGTCTGCGGGAAAGCAGTCATCAGAGGAACTTCTCAATCCTCGCCCCTCTACCTCGGATCTCAACTGTCAACGACTGGCCTCACCGGATGCGCCAAGTACTGTGGCGATACCCCGGGCTGTGTTTCTTTTTATGCGGAAGATTATGTACCCGGGGTCGGTGCACCGACATACAACATCTGCTTCAAGTTTAAGGGATATGAGAAGGATATTCCTTTCGGCGAGGGACAGAATGGAGGGTCGGCGTACTATGAACAGGGCTGCTTTGCTTGTGTTCGTGACGAGGCGCCTCAGCCGCCTATCCCAAGTTAGGAGACGGGGCTGAAGCTTTGCAAATACTAGACCTAAGTCCTTTAATGTAATGATATGAAGATAATAGCGATATTTATCATCTCAAATCAATGTATGAATCTGTTTTTTACGGTTTCTCCACGTGCGTCACCAGAAAGTTGAGAATATCGTCAACTTCTTCCGGTGCTTTGAACCAATGTCCCTCTAATTCTGCTCCCTGATATTCCCTCCACTCAACCGTAAACCCAGCTTGGAGAATGATGTCTCGCGCCTTTCTTCCCAATTCGACATCAACATACGCATCGTCGGTTCCATGGCCAAGAAAAACATTCGTTGACGGGAGCCTTTCTTGAGCTTGAGGAAGTGAGACATTTGACTGAGCCAACATCTCAGCGACAAACTCAGTTCCTGTATCCATAGGTGACGTTGGTTCATTTGACAGATATTGCTCGATGCTGGGAGCAAAGGGAAGCCAAGTATTCGTAGCGAAGAATGCGCCGATTGGTCTTTCGATAGTGTCCCGGCAAAGCAGTGTCCACATTCCCACTGCAGCGCCCTGACTGATCCCACCTAGAACAATCTTTGACATATCTCCACCAAGATTTTGACTTTCCTGGTCTAGAATCGTCTTGATGTAGCTGACTGATTCCTTGATACCTGGAATCTGAAGGTCTTGCCGAGCCGTGATGTCTGTCAAAGAATGCGCCTCAAACCACGCGGGCATGTCTTCTTGGAAAGCCGTGCTCCATAACTCGCGCGAAGAAGGAAACACCCATCGCCAACTGGGTAGTTGCTGCGCGAGGCTGGATTGGTCCGATAATAAAGTCTCTTCGAAGAGCTCTTGGGCAAACTCCTCACCGTTGCTTCCCCTGCCGTGGAGGAGAATTGCTGTGTGAGTGTGCGATTCAATTGGCTCAACTATATAGACTGCGCCAAACGGCTCACTTTGGCTTCCAGTCGCGTTGGCTTTGGTACTCATTGTGAGGATGATGCTGAGGGGAAATTGCAGGTCTGTAATCATTCAGTGGAGAAGGCTGATGATCAGCTACAACCTTTGATCTGGAGCAAAAGACAACCGAGGAAATGACAATTCCAGCTACAGACAAAGGCCTTTTCAATTAAAATAAAACATCTAGACAAATCGTTTATTATATACGTAACTTGTGTAGCTGTAACGTCGTCATTACTTTAGCTCCGCAACCAAGTCAAGTCCACTTTCTGATTCGACATTCTTGCTTGGTTAACCTACACCGCGAAGGAGTCAAGAACGGAGACTCGAAAGTAATGTCCTATATGTATAAACGGACTCTACAGGCGTGAAATATGTTGAGGCTCTGTATATTAGACCGATAATAAATGAGAACGGGTATCTCTATGTGTTTTGCTACGATCTTGATCTACCGATCAAGTCACTCAAAGTTACCTCTCAGACATAGCTCGGATAAGCGCAGTCCCACAGCATTCTACTTAGCCAGCCACAACAAAGCCGTGATTGTTTGGCATTTGCCGATCTCGAATCGCTTTGATGTATGTCGTGCAGCATCGCGGAGAGAAAATAGCTGCAGCCGTACCGAAGCCTCAAACCAAGGTCAATCTGACGGAAAATGCCAGATCGGATATCTTGGCATTGAATCTCACAGGGCTCCCCGCAGTGGCGGTTCTCGTTTCCGGGCTATAATTTGGCGGGGCATTTATCCGTCAATGAGGGGATTTCTCTTTTCTGTCTCTTGGCCCAATGCCATTGACGAATGTGGAGATCCGGATATCCGTTCTCTCTTCTATATTATATAGCTTTTAGTCAATGATTCGACATGACAGAACCAGTTGAGCATGCAAACATCGTCGAAACCATGACTATCAGACACGATTCCAATGCTGTTGAGGCTCACAAGCCTGCGGTGCAGCCTTCACAGGCGAAGCTGTTCACCTTGGATGAGATGATTAAGCGTCGCGCGGTGGAGCTGGGAGATACGATCTTGATGGGTGCGCCAGAGACGGGTGTTGATGATTTCAAGGAGCATAGTGCAGTGGACATCGATAGATATGCTGATGCAGCTGTTGCGAGACTACAGAGCCTGGGTCTCGAGCCCGTGGTGAGTAAAGCCCATGACAATACGAGGATGAAACTAACTGCATAGGATCCAACGCTTGAAAAAGCACCAGTTGTTGGCATGCTGGGCCAATCAGGCATTCATGTTGTGATACAAATCATTGCTCTCAACAGATTAGGATACTCTTCATTTCTCATCTCAACAAGACTTGCAAGCCCAGCCATTACCCAGCTTCTCACTCTGGCGGACTGCAATGTCATCCTAACAACACCACCTTTTCACCCCGTCCTCAAGGAAGTCCAGCAAAATCGCCAGCTTGAGATTCTTCCTCTTCTGCAAAGCGCAGATATCTTCCATCACAATGCGCCGAGATTCGTCAGAGATTATAGCCCAGAAGTGGAATCTCGCAAAGTCGCTGTCATTATCCACTCTTCCGGCTCAACAGGTCTCCCCAAGCCGATCTATCTCACCAACTCAAGCTGCATCGGAGCTTTTGCAGTCCACATGAACATGCGCGCGTTTCTCACATCGCCATTCTTTCACAGCCATGGATTTTACGAGGTATTCCGATCGATCTACTCCGGCAAACCGATTTACTTCACAAACTACGGATTGCCTTTGACTAGGGAGACGGTCATGGCGCAGCTTAAGGCTACAAAGCCTGAGATCTTCCATTGTGTTCCTTATGTCATCAAGCTGCTTGCTGAGAGTGACGAGGGCATTCAGATGCTGGCTGATATGAAGCTTGTGCTTTATGCGGGAAGTGGGTGTCCCGATGATCTTGGTGATCGGCTTGTTGAGAGAGGCGTTAATCTCTGCGGCAACTACGGAGCGTGAGTATCATTCGTCTCATTCAGGAACCGTCTAACACATTGTAGCACCGAAACTGGAAGACTCGCGACCTCAGCTCGTCCTGAAGGTGACAAGGCATGGAACTACATCCGTGTTCTCCCCCCAGCAGAGCCCTACACCATCTTCGATGAAGTCGCCCCTGGCCTGTTCGAATGTGTAGCTTTAGATGGTCTCCCGTCAAAGAGCACTACCAACTCAGATAACCCACCAGGATCTTTCCGCACTCGAGATCTCTTCACACAACATCCCACAAGGCCTAATCTCTGGAAATTTGCCTGCCGCTTAGATGATCGCTTCACTCTCATCAATGGCGAAAAGGTTCTTCCCATCCCCATTGAGGGTCGTATCCGACAAGAAGAGATTGTCAAGGAAGCTATAGTCTTTGGCGACGGGAGGACATATCCTGGTATCTTGATCGTCAAGGCTGATCGGGTAGCCGATATGCCAGACGCTGAGTTCCTCGATGCTATCTGGCCATCCGTTGAAGACGCCAACTCACGAGCAGAGTCATTCTCACGAATTCCAAAGGAGCTAGTCGTTATCGTACCAGCAGATTCAGCTTACCCGCGCACGGATAAGGGTACCTTTATCAGAGTCCCTACATACCGCCAGTTTGAGAAGGAAATTGAGGCTGCTTACAACAGATACGAGGGCCAAGGCGATGAAGCCGGCTCGCTCACACTCGAGGGTTTAGAACTGGAAGATTACCTTCTACAACAACTGAAGAGCAAGTGTGGCGCGAATCTTGAATCATCTGAAGCAGATTTCTTTGCCTCGGGCGTTGATAGTCTTCAGTGTATTCAGATGTGGAGTCTCATCAAGCGAGAGATCGACCTTGGCGGTAGACAATCGGAGCTGGGGCAGAATGTGTTGTACGAGACTGGCAATGTCAAGTTACTTGCCCGCCAGATTGAGAGGTTGAGAAGTGGTGCGAGTGACGAGACGCAGGATCAGCTGAAGATCATGGAAGGGCTGATTGAGAAGTACTCTACCTTTGAACGCCATGTACCTGGATCTGCGCCTCAACCTGAGAAGGAGCTCGTGGTAAGTTCAACATCTACACTCTAATGCATTGATACTAATGAACTAGCTACTCACTGGTGTCACCGGTGCTCTTGGTGCGCACGCACTTGCCCAGCTGACAGCTCGGCCCAACGTTGGAGCCGTATGGGCTTTAGTCCGAGCAGCAAGCGATACCGCCGCCACCGAAAGACTCTACAGTTCCCTCCAAGCTCGCGGTCTATCCCTCGACGAAGAGCAACGAAGCAAAGTCCTCGCTCTCCCCTGCGATCTCAGTCGTCCGGACACTGGCCTCAGCGAATCATACATCTCCGAGCTCCGCACCAAGCTCACAACCATAATTCACAGCGCATGGGCCGTCAACTTCAACATCTCCGTGCAATCCTTCGAAGACCAACACATCAAAGCTGTACACAATCTCATCCAACTAAGCCTCTCCGTGCAAACACCTAAGCCCGCACGATTCTTCTTCTGCTCTTCTGTTTCATCGGCAGGAGGATCACCGCGCCCCGGAAAGGTTCTTGAAGCGCAGGTTCCTTCGCCTGCACATGCTCAGCACACTGGCTATGCGAGGTCAAAGTATGTTGCTGAGCATATTACCGGTAATGCTTGTAAGAGTGCTGGTGCCGTGGCGAGAGTTCTGAGATTGGGACAGTTGGTTGGTGATACCAAGGTTGGGGAGTGGAATACTACTGAGGGAATTCCTTTGATGATTCAGACGGCAGTTACGCTTGGTGCTCTGCCAGCGTTGAACGAGGTACGTCTCCAGAATTTTGAGTTGAACATGAATACTGATATAGGCAGGAAATGACATGGTTACCTGTTGATCTCGCTGCTTCAACAATCCTCGACCTCGCCAACCTCGGTGCATCATCACCTACGGACCGCTCTTCCGACCCCGATCTAGTCTATCACATCCTCAACCCAGTGCGCTTCCACTGGGCGAACGACATGCTTCCCTCCATGACAAAAGCCGGCTTCAAGTTTGAGACCCTAGCTACCGACCAATGGATGGACCGTCTTCGCAACTCAGAGCGCGATCCTGCCAAGAACCCTCCTATCAAGCTACTAGATTGGTTCGAGGGCAAGTACGGCAACAAAGCTGCTTCATCAGCGGAGAAGGGACCCCTGGATTATCTTACAGATAAGTCAAGGGAGGACAGTGAGACGTTGAGGAATGTGCCGGACGTAACGGATGTGGAGTATATTAAGATGGTGCTCGGACGCTTGCAGGCACGTTGGGGAGAGAAGGTTTGAGTTCAGCGTTAAAGTTCATATGATCGTTAAATACTATGCAAGTTCATGTTTCTAAAAGTGCTGTTTCTAAATTCTAAAATGCAAGTGCGTGAGTGATTCGATCCGTCGCTGTAAAGTGCATGCATCCCACTCTATCAAAGTTGGTCCTTTCAAGAGTTGAACCCTTCAGTCCTCGTGGTTCTCCTCATCCTCCGTCTGAACCTGCTGCTCCGATAGTCTCGGGTTCCTGAGGGCAAGTGCAAATATGATCATGGGTATGCAAACGCAAATTCCTGCGATACAGAGAAGTCTCTGTACAGAACTGTAGCTGTTGATAATCGCTTCTCGAATCGCGGTTCCGACTGGATAATCCGGTATGACGGCAAAAGGCGAGTTGTAAATTCTCTTGGCAAGGGTTTCGTCTGGTTGGAAATCTAGGTTATGCTTCAGAGCTTTGTAAAGAGTTTGGGTCCAGATAGCTCCTGAAAGACATGTACCTAGGGCACTTCCGACATTGTAGAATGAGAGGTAAAGACCTGTGAGAATGGCCACGTGCTCTCGGGTTGCCGAGGCTTGGATAGATGCTTGAGTCGGATAAGCGAAAAAYCCACCTGCCACTCCGAGGAGAATCTGTGCGGCAATGATTCCGTCTTGAGACGATGTCGAAGCCCCACCAGGGTATAAGATCAAAACACCGAATGCGACCATGAAAAGAAGTGTGCCTCCGACAATGATGAACTTGAGCCGACGAATCTTAAAAATGACTAGACCAGCTAGAACTCCCGTTATTACTCCAAAGAATGAGAAGAACGAAATGATG